GGCGGGTGTTCTCTGGTTTGCAGAATAAAGCCACCTTAGGCTGGGGACAAAGCCTGGATTTTGTGTGCGTGTGTGAGAGCTCAAGTGGCATAAGTGGATGTGTGTGAGTGTGTGTCTCTGTAAGGAAAAGTGTGTGAGGTTCCTGTGTGTCTGTGTCTAACTGTGTGAGTCTGTTGTATGAGTGTGTGCTGATGGTGTGAGTGTAGACTCCATGTGTGTTAGGGTTGGGTGGGGTGTGCATCGGTGGAATGCGGGTGTATGTGTGCGCATACGCGCGTGTGCATGTGTCCCGGCATTGGTCAGTCTCTGTCCTTGACCCTGTACAGCTCTGGTATCACCTCCGTGAAGCCACCCTGACCTCCCTCACCAGCATGGCTCAGTCTCTCCTGGTGCTGTGTTCTGTGTACAACCCCATCACCCTGCCTGACACACTTTATTAAACCTTGCTGCTAGCATTCCTGCCCCTCCCCAGTCACGGCACATGGTAGGGGCACCATCCATGCTTGTGTGTGTGTCTGATGTCACATGCTTATGTCTGAAGGTGTCAGGGTGCGTGTGTTTGCGGGGATGGGGAGGGGTCGAATCTGACAGAGCTGAGTATGCCCGTTCTGTTTGGATCCTGGGGGCCTAGAGTCCTTCTCCCAGATTTCTCACCCACAGACCTCCTGCTCAGGGCTGCCTGACCCTGTGACAGAGTGCAGGCCATCTCTCACGTGGTTACTTGTGGGCCCAGGGTCAGCCAGACTGTTTTTCCTCTGCAGCCTGATTTTAGGTTGAAGCCGCTGTCCCTCGGCTGGAGAGGCCAGGGGCTGCTTTGGGGCACCAGCCCCGCCTCCTACTGGCTGCTTGGGACTTGGATCTCTCGGAATTTTGTTCTTTCAACTGGTCCTGGAGTCAGTTCTAAATTGTCAGGCCAAACTTAAATGTCCCTCTCCAACCCCCAAGCACAAAGCCTGAGTCTCCAGCCCCTGAAGTCTATTATGTTCACTCTGGTAACAACTTTTGTCCATCTTTATTTGTTCTGTCTTCTATACATAGAGCCTAAGACCCCAAGCTCCTTCCCCCTCGGGAAGTCCTTCCTACTATTTTCTTTCTTTTCCAACCAGGGTTTGAGGCTTCTCCCCTTTTCTTCCACTGAAACAGTCCTGAGAGGGAAGGAATGGAGCTCAGTGGTTACAACTCAGACTCTAGAACCACACTGTCTGGGCCTGAATCCCAGCTCCACCACTGCCAAGATCTTTAGCTCCAGACAAGTGTATCAGACCAAAGTCTTTCTCAAATTAGATAATTTGAGGAGTGTTTCATAAGAGGATTATGTGCAAAGGTATGGGCAGGGTGTTGGTAAACCACACAAGGGATAGTGCATTACCCCAGAGCTAGTAGCAGTGGCTTAGTTACCACCCTCAGGGGCCCAGGAGCTGGAAGGAGCATGTTTCCTAGAATCCGGAGAGAGAGGGCCCCCCGGCAGGCCCTACAGCAACCTCACAGAGGGGAGGGGCAGGTAAACGCCCAGCCTTACTCTCCTCCATCTCATCTCCTATTAGTGCCACGCTCCACAGCCAAGCCCTACAGAAGCCATGGGGCAAGGCCTTCAGCCTCCTGGCCACAGAGCAGAGTGGAAAGGGTAGAGAAAGGATCTGGAGTGGCAACAGAAGATGCTCAATGCACCCTGCTAGCTTCTGTTCCCTCATCTGTAAAACAGGCTATTAGGGGACTTCCCTGGCAGTCCAGTGGTTAGGACTCTGCGCTCTCACTGCCGAGGGCCCGGGGTTCAAGCCCTGGCCGGGGAACTAAGATCCCACAAGCTGCGCAGCGTGGCCAAAAAAAATTTTTTAATTAAAAAAAAAAAAGAAACAGGCTATGAGTCCAACCTTCCTTCTAGATCGTCACGATGATAAAAGGAGAGGATGTATATGAGGCCTTGAATGCTGTTCCAGCGTATGCTGAGTGCTCAGTGAACATATCCAACTGTCTGCGTGTTGATTCTAATGATGAACTGACATGTCAAATTTAAACCTGTCTAAAACAGAAACTTGGAATGTTTTCCCCTGCCAACCTCTTTCTTCCCTAGTCTTAGTGAGCGGCACGACTATCTGCGCAACTGCTCAAGCCAGACACCGCAGTGCCATCCTTTAGGGATGAAAGCCTCCTGCTCCCTCTCTCCACATCTCTCCATCATTCCATCCTGTCTGCTTTTCTCCAAAATACATCTCAAATCTGTCTCCCTCTCTCCATTTCTACTGCCACTATGCTAGCCCTCCCACCTAGATTACTACTAAAAGCCCTCACTGGTCTCGCTACACCTACTGTCTGGTCTCCCCCACCCAGCTAAAGGGCTCCAAAGCATCACTTGGGTGTAACTTCCCTGGGTGAGCCCACTGCCCTCCAAGGCCCTGCTTCGGTCCCCAGTTTCACCAGGGACCACACCCCTCTACCCCAGGCTCACGGCTTCACTGCAGCTTGCCCTCTTTTTAGCACCAGGCTTTTTCCTTCCTTGGAGCCTTGGCATATATTATTTCCAACCCCTCAGAAAACTCTTTGCTCCAAATTGTCCCCACTGGTTCCTTCTCCTCCTTCAAATCTCAGCTTAAATACGATCACTTCAAAGAGGCCTTCCCCAACCACCTCATCTAAAATACATCCCCCGGGACTTCCCTGGTGGCACAGTGGTTAAGAATCCGCCTGCCAATGCAGGGTACACGGGTTCGAGCCCTGGTCCAGGAAGATCCCACATGCCGCGGAGCAACTAAGCCCATGGCCCACAACTACTGAGCCTGCACTCTAGGACCCGCGAGCCACAGCTACTGAAGCCTGCGCGCCTAGAGCCTGTGCTCTGCAACAAAGAGAAGCCACAGCAATGAGAAGCCCACGTACCGCAACGAAGAGTAGCCCCCGCTCACTGCAACTAGAGAAAGCCCACACACAGCAACGAAGACCCAATGCAGCCAAAAATAAATAAATAAAATAGAATACATCCCCCTGTCGGGACTTCGCCGGTGGTCCAGTGGTTAAGACTATGTGCTCCCAATGCAGGGGGCCCGGGTTTGATCCCTGGTCAGGGAACTAGATCCCGCATGCCGCAACAAAGGTCCCTCACCCTGCAACAAAGATCCTGCGTGCGCCAACTAAGACCCTGCACAGGCAAATAAATACATAGTTCTAAAAAAATACATCCCCCCGCTTCTCCTCATTGGCTTCTTTGTCCCAGCACCCTGATTCATTCCTTCATAGAACTTACAAAGCATGTAGTTATATATTTATTTGTTTGACACTTGTTTATAGTCTGTCTCCCCACCAAACTATAAATTCCATAGAAGGGTACAAGCTCTGTCTGTTTTACTCACCACTGTATCTTCAGGAGCTGGCACAGAGCAGGTGCTCAATAAATATTGCAGATGGTCAATGAGCAAATGGTAGCCAACGTGATAATGACAGTGATGCTATCAGAGCCCTTCCAGAGAATCCCACTACATGATCAAAATGCTCCCCATCCCCTTTCTTCAGCCTCCAGTCCCTACCCTAGATCCCCTGCTTCCTAGATTCATCTCGGACTGACTTCAGTAAAGTACAAAAAAAGGGACCATATCACTGGCAAAAAAAAAAAAAAAAAATCTCTCTTCAGGTTGATGACCGGACAGTGTGAATGGATTGAAAATTTATCAGGAAAAATGGATGAGAGAGGGGGGATGCCAGAATACGGGGGCAGACAGCCAGCAGGTCTGGGGGAGGGACTCTGTGTGGGGACAGGGGTGGCCTATTGGGTGTGCCCCTTTTCTTTTCTCTGGTGCCCTTTGATAAGACCAGCAGTTTTGTTATCCTGTCCCCCTCTCTCTCCACAGTCCGGGCAGCCCCACCTCCACATTTTGGAAGCATGTCAGTGCAGGACAACATGCGACCCATGTGGCTTTGGTCATGGATCTCTAAGTCCCAAAGGGATTTAGCAAAGTCCATCCTGATTGGGGCTCCAGGAGGTAAGAAGGGGCCGCAGATGCCATTGAAGAGAAGGGGAAAACGAGGGTAGAAATCAGGAGTGGGGTGGGGATGTACAAACGATCCATATCTGCTGCTGGCTACGAGGTATTTGGGGAGGATCTGTGTTCATCGGAGTCTCCCCGGTGTTAATTTATGGACCCTGGTCTGGGCTTCTTCTCCCAGCTTCTCGCAGCATGGGAGCCACGGGGTATTCTCGTGGTTCCTGGACTCTGGCCCCTGGTGCACAGGGCTTCCAGTGACAAGGGAGACACTGGTGACACTTTAACCAGAATGCAGAACTGATTCCCAGCCCAGCTGGGCCTCAAGCCTCTGACAGCCTGACAGCGTGGATCAGACCCCCAGAGATAGACAGGCGTGCAGTGGCATGGAGGGTGCGGCTGGCAGTGGGGCTCCTCTTCCTCTGGGCTGGACTGGGTCAAGCTACTGGGACCTCAGGACCTGGAGTAGCACTGAAGGGGCTGAGGAAACTCAGAGGAGGGGGTGGGAGGCCAGCCACTTGCCCAGCGTTGTAAGGAAGAATACAGGGACCTTAGGAGAGGGAACTGGGTGATTCTCGGCCTGGAAATGAGGGGCCACTGTGAACTAGATATCAAGGGGTTGCTGAGGCTGAGAGAAGTCAGCAGCTAAAGGGCAAGAAGTTGGGGGTTGTGAGAGATCAAATAGCTGGGTGATCAAGAACTTGAGCCTGGAGTTAGTCAGACCTGGATGCGAATCCCATCTCTGTTAGTTAGAACTGTACGACCTTGGGCAATTTATTTAACCTTTCTCGGCCTCTGTTTCCTTACCTATAAAATGGGGATAATTACAGAGCATTTAACAGTACCTGCTTCCTAGCACCCTTGAGACTAAACAAGATAATGTATGCATAATGCCCAGCTCATAAGAAGATTCAACAAAAACTGGAGAACTGAGGGCAGGAATAGAGACTGTGCTGAGATGAAAGGATGGGGAGGAGAAGCAGGTGCCCATGTAGCCCCCCTTCTACTGCAGGACCAGCGGGGTACCTGCGGCGGGCTAGCGTGGCCCAGCTGACCCAGGAGCTGGGCACTTCCTTCTTCCAGCAGCAGCAGCTGCCAGCTGCCATGGCAGACACCTTCCTGGAACACCTCTGCTTGCTGGACATCGACTCCGAGCCTGTGGCCGCTCGTAGTACCAGCATCATTGCCACCATTGGTAAGCGCCCTCTATCTGCTCCTGCAGCATCCCAGGGCCTCTTGGGTGTTTCTCAAGGTGCTTCCTCATCTTTTGTGTCCTTTGAGACTTCTCCCTGTTTGACTGAGGTCATTCGTTCAACAAATATTTGTTGAGCGCTTGGTAGACAAGCTTCTGGGTCCTGGGAGTAGATCAGTGAAACGAAATAAACAGACAAAGATCCCTACCCTTGGGGAGCTGACAATCTAGCTGGGTGGGACAATAATTAATAAACATAATAAATTATTTTTAAAAATAAGGGAATTCTTTAGTATGTTAGAAACTGATAAGTACTATGGAAAACAAGAAAAAAGAAAAGAAGAATCAAGGATGGTAAGGGGCATCAGGATGCAAGGGCAGGAGGGAGGTTGCAGTCCTAATAGAGAGTCAGGGTAGCCATTGTTGAGAAAATTAGACCTGAGCAAAGACTTGAGGGAGATGAGAAAATGAGCCATGCAGATGTCTGGGGGAAGAGATTTCTAGGCAAAGGGAAGAGTCAACGCCAAGGTCCTAAGTCAAGGAGGCTGGAAACCGTCAAGGGGAAGAGTAACAGAAATGAAGAGGTTGGGGGAAAGGGAAGGTCATGTAGGGCTTTTCAGGCCATTTTCAGAAACTAAGTTGAGTTTTCCTCCAAGTATGATGGGAAACTACTGCAGAGTTTTGAGCAGGGGAATGACATGCCCTTACTTATGTCTTAACAGAACCACCCTGGCTGCAATATTTGAAAATAGATTGGGGGTGGGGGCGAGGGCAGAAGCTGCTGCTACAGTATTTCTGGTTTAGAACAGGTGGTGGCAGAGGAGCTCGTGAGAAGTGATCAGATTCTGAATGTATTTTGAAGGTAGAGCCAACAGAATATGATGGATTGGATATGGGGTGGGGGTGAGGGTGAGAAAGGAGTCAAAGATTACTCCCAGGTTTTTGACGTGAGGGACTAGAAGACTGCATTATCAACTGAGCAGGAAAGGCTGTGGTGGAAAGGTTTAGGGGGGAGAAGATCAGTTCAGTTTGAGAAGCATATTAGACATGCAAGTGTGGTACAGAGTAGGCAATCAGATACACAACTCTGGGTTTGGGAAAGGGGTCTGAACTGGAGACATAAATTTGGGAGCTGTCGGCATATTGATGGTATTTAAAGCCATGAGACTAGTTGAGACCACCAAGGAAGTGAAGGTAAAAGGAGCATCTAATGTTAAGGGGGGTAAAGAGCAAGAGAGGCTGAGAAGGAGCAGCCAGTGAGGTAGGAGTAAACCAAGAGAGGGTGGTGTCCTGGAGGCCAAGAGAAGAAGGGACATCAAGGATGTGTGTCAAATGCTGCTGATGGACCAGCTAAGATGAGGACTGAGAACTGACCATTAGATTTAGCGGCAACACAGAGGTTTTTGGTGACCTTGACAAGAACAGATGCAGTGGACAGTGGGTACAAGGAGAATAGGGGGAGGGGAATTGGAGGCAGCAAGTACAGAGATAACTCTTGCGGTGAATTTTGCTGCGAAGGTGAGCAAAGGAATAGGGCTGTAGCTAGAGGGGGAACTGGGGTTAGGAGGTTTTTTTTGGGATGAAAAATAACAGCAAGTTTACATGTTGATGGGAATGACCTAACAAAAAAGGAAAACTGATGACACAGAGGACTGGGGAATGGCTGAATCCGTTTTTGAGCAGGTGAGAAGGAGACCCAGTGCACAAGTGGAAGAACTGGCTTTAGGGAGGGACTGGAGAGGTTGGTCAACTGGGTCTCAGTTACACAGCCGTCCTATCAGCAGAGCAGGGATGGGATAGGACTCGACTCTCCTCAGTCCAATATGAGGCCTCTCAGCTCTAAAGCCTGGTACCCCAAATACCCTCACCTGGCACCCACCCCCTTCTACACTGGGGTTACCCCCACACTGCAACACTTAACATCACTGCCAACACAGTTACCTCAGGCCTGGCTGAGCCCACCTTTCTAGGGCCTCACAGTGTAAGGAGGCTTGTGTTAGCTGGAGAGGGGAAGGGAGTTTCTGACCTGCGAGCAGGGGTGGCGTCAGGGAACAAAGGTCAGGTAACAGTACTTCTGTGGCCTGGGGCAGCTCTGAGGGTGGTGATGGGTTCACCTGTCTCTCAGGTTTGGGGAGAAAGTTGTCTGAGTGGGATCTCTGGTTCCAGGGCCGGCATCTCGCTCCGTGGAGCGCCTCAAGGAGATGATCAGGGCCGGGATGAACATTGCGAGACTCAACTTCTCCCACGGCTCCCATGAGGTTCAGGGCGGGGCCGCGGGGAGGCGGGCGGGGCTAGAGGATGCCCCAGGGTCCCGGCCACCTTCCCCTGAAATCCTCCCTCTGTTCCCATCCCCAGTACCATGCTGAATCCATCGCCAACGTCCGGGAGGCGGTGGAGAGCATTGCGACTTCCCCGCTCAGCTACCGACCCGTGGCCATCGCTCTGGACACCAAGGGACCGGAGATACGCACTGGGATCCTGCAGGGGGTGAGAGGCGACCTGCGACCAGCCCTGTCTTGGGGACCGGGAAGGGGGCCGTGCGCTGCGGAGGCAGTTGCCCGTAGGGCGGAGCATGGGGAGGGGCCGGCCCCCACCGAGGCAGGCAGAACTCAGTCCTCCTCTGGCCTCGCCCCTAGGGCCCTGAGTCGGAAGTGGAGCTAGTGAAGGGCTCCCAGGTGCTAGTGACTGTGGACCCTGCGTTCCGGACGCGGGGGGACGCGAACACCGTGTGGGTGGACTACGCCAATATTGTCCACGTCGTGCCGGTGGGGGGCCGCATCTACATTGACGACGGGCTCATCTCCCTAGAGGTCACGAAAATCGGTGTGGACGCGCCTCCCGCCCTGGCCCTACGCAATGCGCGCACTCTCTTCCTTTTGGCTCCCGCACTCGCCCTTCACACCCACTACACCTTCCCCTGGCCACCCGTCCTGCGAGCCCTCGGCATCCAGACTCCTGGGCTCACCCTGGGTTGGGGCTGGACTGGCGGGTTAGTAGTTTCTTCCACAGAAGTCCGCCCTGTGCCTATTCGGTGCGGAGCCCAGGCCGAGGACCAAGAGATGAATACGACATGGTTCCGCTCTCTTGGGGGTCCAATCCTCGTGTTCCCGCTGCCCTGACTAAGCCCCCGGCCTCACCCCTGACCTTAGCTGACTCTTTCCATGCCTGTAGGTCCAGAGGGGCTGGAGACCCACGTGGAAAACGGCGGTGTCCTGGGCAGCCGGAAGGGCGTGAACTTGCCGGGGGCCCAGGTGGACCTGCCCGGACTGTCCGAGCAAGATGTCCAGGACCTGCGCTTCGGGGTGGAGCATGGCGTGGACATCGTCTTTGCCTCCTTTGTGCGGAGAGCCAGCGACGTTGCTGCCGTCCGGGCTGCTCTGGGGCCGGAAGGACAGGGCATCAAGATCATTAGCAAAATCGAGAACCACGAAGGCGTGAAGAAGTGAGCCTTGGTCTTTGTTCCCATCAGGCCCTACCCATCCCCATCGCCCCTCCCCTTCTCCTGCCTGCCTCTCCCTGGCATCTCCTGGCTCTTCCCCAGCCCTGACTCCCCCAACCGCCCAGGTTTGATGAAATCCTGGAGGTGAGCGACGGCATTATGGTGGCACGGGGTGACCTGGGCATTGAGATCCCAGCCGAGAAGGTTTTCCTGGCTCAGAAGATGATGATTGGCCGTTGCAACTTGGCGGGAAAGCCCGTTGTCTGTGCTACACAGGTCTGGAATGAGCCCTGGGGGCAGGGCCCTCTGTGGGTCTGGGGACACCTGAAGGTGAATACCCACACCTTAGGTCTCTAGCACGTTTTGCTGTCCAGTGTTTGACCCTCAAACAACGAAGCTAGGAAGAGATACTGGGACCCCCATTTTCAGATGAGGAAACAGAATAGCCAGGATCACATAGTCTGTGAGTGTGACACTGGCTTTAGGGGCCCTCAGAGAGTGTGGGAGTCCGAGAAGTACTTCAGGGCAGGGTCCCCAGTCAGAGTATGACAACTACAGCTCTGACATCCAGATGTCCCCCAGATGCTGGAAAGCATGATCACTAAGCCCCGGCCAACCCGGGCAGAGACGAGTGATGTGGCCAACGCCGTGCTGGATGGGGCAGACTGCATCATGCTGTCGGGGGAGACTGCCAAAGGCAACTTTCCTGTGGAGGCTGTAAAGATGCAGCATGCGGTAGGAGCTCAGAATGCAAGGCAAACGGGCTGGAAAACCACATCCCTTCCAGGTCCCAATAGCCTTGCCCAGCCTTACCCCCTGGTGCCCACAGATTGCCCGGGAGGCAGAGGCTGCCGTGTACCACCGGCAGCTCTTTGAGGAGCTGCGCCGGGCGGCACCACTGAGCCGGGATCCCACCGAGGTCACCGCTATTGGCGCTGTGGAGGCTGCCTTCAAGTGCTGTGCTGCTGCCATCATCGTGCTGACCACAACTGGCCGGTGAGGGGGACACTGGGAACGCCAAGACAGGGCTTTGGGCCAAGGGCAGGCTGGGATGGGCCCCAGGCTTGGGTTTTGTCTCATCATCAGAGGAGAGGCAGCTATGGGAGCTGGAGGCCTAGAGAGGCAGATCTTGACGCACACCAGGAATTGTACCTGCGAACCCCAGGGGTTTGGAAGGGTAAGGTGGCATCACTGGATGCGTTGGCTTGCAGGCCGTTTAGGCTCCTAGGGCTCAGAGGCAGGTCCTCTGCATTCAGCCCACAAAGCCTTACAAGGCTGGGGTGTTGCAGAAGGGCCCAGAAGGTCTGAGTTCAAGTCTTTGCCTGTGATACCTTGGGTAAGTCACCCAGGCTCTGTAAGCCTCCTCCATTTGTTCATGGGATTGTGAGGATTAACAAGAGACATTTGTAAGTTAAGTACTATATAAAGGTGCATTCCCAGAAGGGTTTTCTGTTTTTCAAAGCAGTTTCTCCTTATCTCATTTGATATTTTTTAAAATCATCTCATATCCTCCTTGTGTGGTAAGAAAGGCGGGTATTCTTATACCCACTTTACAGGTGAGAAAACTAAGGCCCAGAAAAATATGATGACTTACCTAGGGTCACACAGCTTATTGCTGGCACCTGGAACCAGAACCCAACACTCTTTCACTCTTCTGGGCTGACTTTGTCTGCCTCCTTCAGCTCAGCCCAGCTTCTGTCTCGGTACCGACCTCGGGCAGCAGTCATTGCTGTCACCCGCTCTGCCCAGGCTGCCCGCCAGGCCCACCTGTGCCGGGGAGTCTTCCCTGTGCTCTACCGTGAACCTCCAGAGGCCATCTGGGCAGACGATGTGGATCGCCGAGTCCAATTTGGCATTGAAAGTGGTGAGCCACCTAAACTCCTTCCCCATCCACCCCTGGATTTGTATCATGAGTCCTACGCCCCACACCCACCCAAAAGGGCCTTGCCTCTCTCCTCTGGTCCCAGATTTTCTCTGTGAGATTCACTAAGACTGAGATATTTGGGCTTCCAGGGGTGGGGGGAACGTGCTGAGGGAGGAGGGCAGAGGGAGAGAGGTCAGGGGTCAGGGCCATCCTTAAGAAGTCGGCTCAGCTGCTGCCTGCACCAGATGGCTAGAGCCAGGCCTGACCCAAGGAGCAAGAGGTGAAAAGAGAAAGGGGAACCCAGTCCCCTGCAGCTGCAACTAAAATCTAATTGACAATTGGCTATGCTCATACCCCACCTCTTCCTATCATCATAGCAATACAGGCAGACAGCCTTGCTACTTAGCAACATGCCACCCCACGGGCATATGTGCAGCTCTGATATACTACAGTGGTCACATTCCTGCGGTGCCACCTGTGGGACACACTGTACAGTTTGCCTCAGGCCCCTCACTACCTACCTAGTGGGCTTGAAGAGGCGAAGGATGGTAGCTCGTTCTCATTACAGGGCTGGCCTGGGTTCCTCAATGGCTAATTAGCATCTTCTCCCCTTCCTCCTCCCAGGAAAGCTCCGTGGCTTCCTCCGTTTTGGGGACCTGGTGATTGTGGTGACAGGCTGGCGACCGGGCTCCGGCTATACCAACATTATGCGGGTGCTGAGCGTAACCTGAGGTGCCCCTCCTCCTCTGACCGAGCCAGCTCTGGACCCGTCCCTCCTTTCTGCTCCCTCCTACTGCCCCACCTCTAAGTCTTCTCTACTCCCAATCCTCCCTTCCCTAGGCCACATCTGCCATCCAGGGTGCCCCCTCCCCCTCTCCATTTCGCACAGGCCTTGAAAGTCTGTATCCAATTAAGCCCTGGCCATCCAACAGCACCAATGGTACATTCCCTGCATCTGATACTCTTAACTGGTCCCTAAAATACTCTGAGCCTTTAATCCAGTTTAACTGATTAATTCTATTCCCCTAGTCTTCCCATACCTGGGGGCAGAGGTGAGTGGAACAGGACAATCATGTCCACAGTCTCCACAAAATCTCTATTTAAAAAATATTTCACATCCATGCAGTTTTATGTTCTCTTATGTGGCCCTCATGATAATCTGGGCATCCCCCGAGGAGAGTGCCACCTCTTTCTTCATTGTCACTGTCAGTGATATCAAAGCACCACCCTTTTGGGGAAGCTAGGGTAGATGGAAGGCGGGGAGCCCCGAGAGCCAGGCAGGCTCATCCCGTCACTGTCTCTACCACCTCTAGGCTTGCAGGCCGCTCCCTGGCTGCTCTCATACCCACCTCATGCCTTGCTGGGTCAGGTATCCTGCTACCTCCTCCTGTACCCCAGAATGCCCACTTTGTTCCCACACACAAGCCAGGAGCCAAAACAAGTGTCTCTATTTTCTTTTTAAACCCAGGTGTTTGGAAGCAATATAAAACCTCTCCCACACACCCAGAACCCCAGAACTGCCCACCCAGGAGAAAAGGAGATTTAGGGTCCTGGCCCCTCATTCTCTGATGCTGTAGAGTAGGTGTGGGGACAGAGGGGTGGGATAGGGGGCTTCTCTTGTCCCTGAGAAGGCAGAGGTACTGGCTAGCCTGCCCTTCCCCAGGCTTGGTTACCTCGGGCCCTCCCCTTACTCCTGCACCAGCAGCAAACTCAGTAGAAAGGAAAAAAAACCTAAAAATAAGAACAGTCCGCCTCTCCCTCTCAGGTGGCCTTCCTGCTCCTACCTAGTTAGGGAGAGGGCTCAAGTATTGCCACTGATGGGAGTTGGGCAAGGACCACAAGAGCTGGCATGGAGGGGCTCTGCCCATTCCTGTCTCCCTACCAGGAGGGGATGGGAGAGATGGATAAATAAAATGAATTGATAATAAATAAAATTAGCAAATGAGTGAATAAATACAATTATTAAATGATTGAATAAATAAGGAAGGGAGTAAGGAAAGAAAAAATTCCATCTAAGGATTCACTTGCCCCCAACCTGGGGGGAATCTACGCTGGCACACTAAATAAAGGGGGTGTCAACAATCCCTTAGCTTCAAGGGGGTCGTCACTGGGACAGGGGCATAGGGAGGAGGTGGCTCCCAGTTTACAAAAAGGCAGTTCTATCACAGAGACAGAGAGTGCAAGGAACTTGTCAGGAGATGTGTGTTCCCACTCAGGGGGTATAGACAGGGAGGGTCCACGCATGGCAGTAAAGCTGGATGCCCACACCAGGGACCCAAGACATTTGTTGACAGCAGTGGGGGGACAGGTAATTGGCAGTGCCCAGCTATGCTAGCAGACAGGAAGATAACCATGCCAGGCAGAACCTGCAAGGTCATGGGCAGGAAAACAGAGACATCTAGTTACTTGGCAGTGATGGTGATGGCAAGTACTTGTGCTTAGTAAGATGGGATCATGGGCCCAGGCCCGCACCTGGCAGGACCATGGCTAGGGGAATACCCTCATCAGAGGGCTTGGAGTCACTTCTACTTGGCAGTGGAGACATACAGCGTCTGGTACAGTGCCTTGAACATGGTAGGCGCTAAGTATCTTTGATGAATGGGTGAATGGATTAGGAGGATGTCAGGTTGCAAGGCGCCTGAGCTGAGAACAGAGACCATCTTCTTGGTACTAAGGGGAGATACTCCCATAGAGCAGTGTTTCAGGTCCCCTTGGTGTCCCCAAGAGGCGTCTGCCCTCTGGCACATGCTACGGCACCCAAGAGCTTACCCAAAGGTTTCACATGTTGGAAGAGAGTTGGGGGCCCCGGGGAGTGGCTGGCTCAGGCACTGATGGCCTGGGGGGCTGGGCTGTCCCTGGAGGCTTAGCCAGGAGCCCTGAGGGGGGCAGGCGTTCACCTCCTGAGCCCTTACACCCAGGAGAGCCATCACCTGCTGCCCGCTGAGGCAGAGAGGGCTGGGAGGCTGAGAGTGGGCGGCCCCGAGGTCCTAGTCGCCGTCCACCTCCTCCTGGGGGAGGCCCCAGCAGTGACACCTGGGAGCGCCCAGCCCGGGATAGGCTGGCATGGAGGGTTCGGGCAGGTGGGGCCGGCAGGCGGGAAGTGGATGCCCAGGGTCCCCGGGCCAGCAGAGGGCCGGCTCGGACAGGGACAAGTGGGGAGGCTGGGGAGCCTGCTCCTGCTGATCTTCGAGCAGAGCGAGCAAGGAGGGTGACTGGAGAGTCAGGGGAGAGGGGGAGAGGGCCCCGCTGGTGCGTCAGGGCAATGGCCACATTGGAGGTCACGGCGGCTGCTTGCAGGGGTGCGTGCACTAGTGGCTCCCACAGCACCGGCTTTCCGCTGAGCCGAGCTCCTGTGCCTGGGGCCAGGCCCCGAACACCCCGAGCCATATCCCTGTCGTGTTGCACCAAGTGCTGCTCCATGATGCCCCCACTGCTGCCTGGACTTGGCTCAGAGCGCTTCCGCTGCAGTATGGAATTCTTCTTGCCTAGAAATTGTCCCGGGGGAAGGAGTTAAGGATAGGAAAGGAATCCAAGATGAAGGTTGGATATGAAAAGTATGAGGGTAACAAGATGGAGTCAAGGGGTGGTGGTGGGGTGAAGGTAGGGGATAGGGGTCAAGAGGATGGAGATGGAGTTGGGGGATGGAGATTGGGAGATGGGGGTTGGAGGAAGAGGGTCAGGGGATGAGTATGTATCACAGATGGTGAGGGTCAGGGACTGGTACTCAGGGAAGGAGGATTCAAGGCATGAGAACTTGGGGTGATATCTCCAAGGGTAGGAGATGCTGAATGGTAAGGACAGTGAGCCAGTGTTGAAAGCCCTATTGGGGCATTTGCTGGGACTAGGTTGGGCTGGGGTGTGATGCTGAGGCGCTGGAGCCTGGGCCCTGGACCGCTGGGGACTCCTTGCTATGGACAAGGGGTGAGGGCACAGCCTGGACCCAGAGCAGACAGGGTGGAAAGGCCTCACCAATGCGGCGCAGCCGATCCATGGCCACTGTCTCGAAGGCCCGGCGCATCATGGGGAACTCCTCGAGCACGGCGTTGAAATGGTCCACGCTGAGCGAGTAGAGGCGGCAGTAGGTGTCAGCACGCACACTGGCTGTGCGTCGGCCCCGAGTCAGCAGACAGATTTCTGGTGAAGTTGGGAGGAAGCCTTCAAAATCACTGTCCACAGAACTCCCTCTCACTGGGCCTGCAGCAGCTGACCCAGATTCCTCAGGCTCCTCCCCAGATGGGAGAAACTGACGATTACCCACCCACCCAGGGTCCCTAAATGCTCCAAGCATGGTCGCTCTCCAGACCTGCATAATTACTGTCCTTCTCATTCTGTCCAAATTAAAGATGATAACCAGGCAGCTCTTGCTGGCCCCCAGACTCCTAGTTACTCCACTCCACTTTAATTCCCAACCCACCTCCACTGCTTTAGCCCAAGAGGTAGGCCTGGGGCAGTGCCCTCTGTGTGCCCTCCCCTCCCACCCCTTTGAAGGAACACCAAGGGCAACCCAGAAGGAGAAAAGCAGTGCCAAAGGGCAAAGGGTAACACAATGGGGAGGTTGGAAGGTGGTGGGTGATTTGGGGACTGCGAGAATATATGAGCCTCAAATCACTTTGGGTAGCAGCTGGCAGAACTGCCCCCACTGCCACAGGCTGGGCCCCTGATTCATACCACCAAGGCATCCCACAAGGGAGCCACAGAGGTCAAGCCCCTGGGAAAGCACTGCTTTATTCCTATCTTTCTCTCATGGAAATCTCATGAGATCCTTGGATTTCACTGCTTAAGGATTCTAAAAGGCCCACTGGCCCAGTAATTTTCAACCTGGCTATACATTGGAATCTCTTAAGAAGCTTTTAAAAATACAGAACTCCAGACCCCAGACCCAGAGATTCTGATTGAATAGGCCTGGGGAGGAGCTGCAACTCTCTGATCCTGCAGCATAGCCAGGTGAAGACCCTGATCCAGGGGAGCAGTTGCCCTCTGCTCCAGACCCCCCAACCCTCCCTGAGGCCTGCTGACCCCCAAAGTATGATCCATCAGTGAGGCGGGTGTCCCGGGCGCCACGTGCCAGCACACTGAGCAGCCCATGCTGGATGAAGTACATCTTCCTGCCCACGGAGCCCTCACGCACCACGAGGTCCCCCGGCTGGAAGACCTCAAAGCGTAGCTTGGTGAGCACGGCCGTGACGAAGCTGGGGTCGGCGTGGGCGAACAGTGGCATGTGGGCCACGAGGCCCCGGCAGGTGAAGTTAATGATCTCCTGGGCAGGGGAGGGGCCTGTCAGGCAGGCTGTGCCCCCTGCCCCGAGGTGCCCCCATCGAGCTCATCTGTCTCCAGAAGCCCCACCCCTGGGGCCATGATCTGCCAAAGGACGGGTATGCTTCAGTGGGCCTGGGACCATCTCTAAGCTCCTGCCTTCAGAGCTCTCCCATGAGCCTTCACAGGACCATCCCCCACAAAGAGAGACCCCTGCAGCCCTCCCCAGTATATTTCACCCCTATAAGAGCTTCAAGAAAGACCCTGGCCCCTAAAAGTCCTCCAAAGGCCTGACCTCCCATGGGGCCCTCTGTAGGCCCCACTCCCTGTAGGTGCACCTGCTGACCAATAGCCCCCACCCCAGATGGCATCCCAGAAGCCCAGGTCCTTGAAGAGCCTCCCTCCAGGGCCCCGCCCAGTCCCACCTCCCGAAGTGGTTCGCTCAGCTCTCCTAGGATGCTTTCCTCGTCAAACATCTTGCCCTGGTAGCGGTGCTCATAGTACTCATGGATGCGCTGCCGTGTGTCAGCTGGCAGCTTGTGGAAGGACATATACTGCTCCACCTGCTTGTACTGGAGAGCCAGCCGATGGCCAGCAGGCAAGAAAACACAGAGACAGATGTGGAGCCAGAACAGTGTGTGGGGAGCGGTGTGTGAAGGAAGGTCACAGACGTGGGCCAAACCCAGAGGGTTGAAACATGGAGGCAGAAGGGTATATAGATAATGGTGGATACAGGGAGGACACAGAGCACAATCACAAGAAAAGCCAGACATGGGCGGGGGGGCGGGTCCAAGGACAGGTGCATTGGTCCAAACAAGGAAAAGGTACACACATGGCACAAATGGACATGGGGCAAGGCAGGACACAGAGATCCAACAAGGGCATGCGTCAGAATGGGCTCCAAGTTGAGCTACCCAGCCTCCAGCACCCCTCCCCTGCCTTCTCCTGCCCCTGCTGACCTTCTCCTGGTACTGACGCCGAGAAGAGTCCAGGGACTGGATGAGGGCAGTGGCGTGGCCGATGAACATGGCGTAGCACGTGGCACCCACGATCATGCTGAGCATGGTGAGCCAGACGTCGGGCATGCCCACAGGTGCCTGCTGCCCGTAGCCAATGCAGAGCATGTGGCTCATGGCCTTGAACAGGGCGTGGGAATACTGGCGGCCCCACGAGTAGTTCTGGGGGGCAGAGCGTATTGCAGAGCTGGGCACAGACCCCTCAGAGCCTCATTCTCCTCCTGCCCCCTCTTCTCTTTCAGTTCTTCTGTCTGCCCCCTTCTACTTTAGACCTGCCTGCCAGGGGAGGAACTTAGGTTTGGTTCTGGGGGGCCTGAGACAGAAGGGGCCTCTTTTACAGCATGGGGGCTGCAGTTTCTGGCTAGGTTTCCTTCCCTGCCTGCTCCCTCCAACACACAGACACTTCTTCCGGGCCTCTTTCCTCTCACTCTCCTCTCACCTCCCCACCTCCTCTCTCCTGTCTTCTCTTTTGGCCATCTCTCCATCATCTCCCACCTCCTGCCCCCTTTGTTCATCCCTCCTGCTCAGGGAGAAGAGCCCTTGGAAGGCCCAGGAGGGGCTGAACTGTGGGGAGTTCTCACCACCATATGGTTGATGGAGACCCAGCAGTCGGGAGGGAAGTCCTGCAGCATGGGGACCAGGAACTGCAGACAGCCATCCCAGTGACATAGCAGCAGCATCATTCCGATGAGGTTGAAGATGCGAACCACAGCACTGGCCAGGTCATAGGTCATGTGAAAGATCTGAGGAGTCCGAGGAGGGGCTGCTGTGGACAGGAAGCCCTCTCTGCCAGTACTTCTCCATTCCTGGCCTTGCAAATACTCTCTTTGAATTTCTCTCTAGCCCCGGCCCTCATGAATGTTAAAACTGTGGCTATTATTCACTCGTATAGAGCTTTACAGCGTATATAGCTAATACAAAGGAGGTTGTATTACTACTCTCATCTTATAAAAAGGAAAATCGATGCCAATCATGTGCCCCAAGTCACACAGCAAGTGTCACAGCAGAGACTCAAAAAGGTCTGCTGCACAAGTTGCCCAAGTGTAGCCTGGGAAAGAGGAGAGAGGGCATTTCACAGTGTAATGTCCCCAGGGCATATATAACGATTAATGCCAGAAGTCCTCTTCCCCTCCAATAATAAAAATAATAATAGGTAGTTTACTGAGAACTTACTATGTGCCAGGCACTGTTCTAGGTGCTTTACAGGTATTAACTTCTTTAATCCTTACAACCTTATCATATGTAAGTATATTTAACATTTTCATTTTATAGAAGGGGAAACCAAGTCTCATACAGTAAACAGTAAAACTGGGATCTGACCACAAGCAATGAGATTGCAGAGCCCACACTCTGAACACTAAAATCTGCTGCTGTCCTGAAGCTGAAACTCAAGCCTCTCCCACACTCTGCAATTCTTAACTCCTCTCCTACACCTTCCTCCCAGAGTCCAACTAACCCTCAAGTCTTTGTCCGGCAGTTGTGCTCCACCCTCCTGCACCACCACCTTCTCACCTTGAGGACCCATCCCCTGAACACTCATTCTGTCCCTGCTTCTCCTCTATCAACTTTGGAGACAGCCCTCCCTTGGAAGCCCCACCCATCTGCCCCACCCCATAAAGTCGCCAGGAGCCCCACCCATATCGCTGTCTGGAGTAGTCTGCAAGCCCCCTGCCCACCTCCCCACCCCACCTCCTCCCACTGGTGTATGTAGCGGATGAGGCGGGAAAGGCGGAGCAGCCGCAGCAGGCTGAGGATCTTGGTGAAACGCACGATGCGCAGGGCCCGAGCTGTTTTGTAGACCTCGGTGTCCAGTCGGGGCTCCAGCTCCACCACCAGGAAAATGTAATCCACAGGAATAGAGGAGATAAGATCAACCAGGAACCAGGTGCGCAGGTAGCGTGTGCGGATGGCCCGCGGTGCCAGCAGGATCTCAGCACCCTCCTCTACCACAATGCCTGTGCGGAAGTTGAGCACCAGATCCATCAGGAAGAAAGTGTCAGAGAGGACGTTGAAGACGATCCAAGGTGGGGAGTTCTCCTCCTTGAAGAAGGTGATGCCCACAGGTAGCACAATGAGGTTCCCCACCATCAGCAGGAGCATGATCAGGTCCCAGTAAAACCTAAGGTAGGGATGGGATGGGAAGTAAGACCACAGTGATATTTCACAATGATGGTCAGCCACCAGACTAAGGGTAGATAGTCTCTCAGACAAAAGTGGGCAAGGATACAGAACAACAGAATGACCATTCACAGCTAGTGGGAGTGTAAATTGGGACCACCATTTGGAAAAATAGTTTGGAATTATCTAGTAAAGTTAAACATTTGCATCCCCTGCAACCCAGCAATTCTATTCCTAGGTATACACACATTCAAGGGAAAAATGTGCTCCAGGAGATATATACAGGGATAACAGCATTAAATCTGGAAATAATCCAAATGTCCATCAGTAGAAAAATGTAGACAAATGAGATAAACACAATAGATAAATAGATAAATACACTATGATACACTCATACCCTGGAATATTATACAACTGTAAAATCACCTAACTGCAGTTACATTCCGCAGTACGAAGGAATCTCACAAATTAAATGTTGAGAAACAAAAGGATACACACTGTATGATTCCACACATACAAAATTCAAAAATAGGCCAAACTAAACTGCGTCATTTAGGGATTCACAGAAAAGTGGTAAAACTATAAAGAAAAGTAAGAAAATGAGTACCAAAAGTTAGAATAGTGGGTTTGGGAAAGGAATGTGAGAGCAGCAGGGAGCCTTCTGGGGTATCAGCAATGTAGTCTCTCTTGACCTAGATAGTTGTTACATGTGAGTTTGCTTTACAATTATTCTTTCATATGTGTGTGTGTGTGTGTGTGTGTGTATGTATATATATATATCCTGCTATGTACTATACTATATATATCTACCTTATATATTCACTATATATATCTCTACTATGTATATATCCCTAGTAAATATATCCCTAATGTGCATATATATATTCTTTATATAGTAATATATACGTAATATCCTTACTATATGTATATGATCTATGTCACTATTATTAAATATTCTTATTATTAAATATTTTTTAAGTTAACAAAAGGTAAATACCCTGTGCTGATCTCATAGGGTTGTTGAAAAAATATGCACTGAGACAACGGATGTGACTGTGCTGTACAAGCACTATTTGGATTATGACTCACCCACTCTTTATCCCCAGATTTCTGAAGAGGTTGCTGCTTTTCCCATCTCTAGCTCTCTGTCCATTCCTAGTCTAGGACTTCATGCCTTCCCTAGCCCTCCCCAACTTTCCCCACCCCATCTCTCCTCCCCAACACAGTTGGGCCCATAGTTTCTGTTTCTCTGCTGGGATCTGCTCATCTGTGTCCCAGGGTGGGGATGATCTGTCCTGCCTCCCAACTGAACTATCTTTTCAGGTATGCCCCTCCCTCCTCCACAGCACCTCAGACAGTGCTGCTGCACATACAGAGAAGCTCTATAGCAGATCCTGAGACAGCAAGGCTTGAAGCTCTGCACTCCTTTCCTCCCCTAACCTCCCTGTGCCCAGTGGGACTCTGGCTGAGCCCAGGCAAGGGTATGGGCAGGGGAGAGCCATACTGCTGTGGTGGAAGCTGTGAAAAGAAGAGGTCAGGAGGGAGTGAGGTGAAGCCTTCATTCAAAGAAGTTCATTGGACAATCTCAGGGTCCCAAGTAGCTATGGTGGTTTCAATTCCAGGACACACCTAGATGCAGTATCAACCCAGGACCCAGTCCCTTCTGACTCTGACTGCAAAAATCAACCCTTTCAGCCCCAGAAAGAAGTTTGGTGGTCCCCAAGTCCAGGCCTCCAGGAAGCCCTTCAGACTGTGTGATTTCAATCAACAACAAATCCTGGATCCCCTCTTCTTCTCTTTCCTGGCCACTGGAGAAATCCTGTACTGTAAGCTGGGAGAGGAGAGGGAAAGAGGGTTTGCCTAGCCATAGAGCATCTTCACAGCCTGACTCACAGGCAGTCACAAGCCTGGCGTGTGATGCAGGAGAGAGGACAGAAAAGAAGCACAATAATAAGGGGGATACATGGCTTCTGGGGATACATCTGAGGGTGAAATGGGGGAGGGGAGGGAGAGCCACAGGAGACTAGAAATGGTGCACTGGTAGGGTGAGAATGAGGCAGTAAAAAGGAGGGGAATGAAAGGAAAAATGAGAGAAAGAGGAACATTTAGGGAGTGTGTATGTCTGTGGATTAAGATGATGTCTACGTCTCCAATTGTGTTTCCAGGCCCCTGATTCACACCTCATCCTTTCTGCTCATTTAGCTCCCCAGGTTAGGTGCTTTGCATGCATCCTTGCCACATCCAGAAGCTGTCCTTCATTTCCCCCAAGGACAGGGTTGCTCTCCTCCCCTAGCGACCTTGATGTAGAGGTACAGCCTGATGGGGACTATGGAATGGCCCCACCCCCACTCTTCGTTCCTTCGGTCTGGTAGTCACCTGGGCGGTGGTCATATGGGGGGTGGCCTTGACCCTGTGTTGCTGTCTCACATCGCTCTGCGTCCAGGCCCTACCCTGCCGAATACCGCCTTCAGCACCAGGGACAGCGATCAGAACTACTGTCTGGACACTCCCTCCTCCCCTTCCGCAGCGTCCCTATTTTTTCTGGTCGCCCGCCCTGCTGAACTAGGCGGGTGCTGGGGGTGGGAATGGGGACAGTGGGAAATAGCGGGGCTTGGTTTCTCCCTCAGGCTGACCCAGAGCCTCGGAACATGACAAAATTCCCCAGATCCCCAGCAAGCAGGACAGGAGGAGAGAGCAGTCCCTAATTCCAGTATTCCCTGTGGTGCAGGTAGGGTACCGGGTTCCTGAAATGGGAAATCCAGGTCTCTGTTGTCCGCTTGTCCCTTCCGGCGCCCCCAGCATGAAAAGTCACCAAGGACCTCCGGCTGGTGATCCTTCACCCAAGAATTCTCGGGCTAGGTTGGGGGAAGTGACTCTGTCGGCCCAACAGGGGACCCCTGGGCCGGAAATGAAGTGTCCGTGGAGGGTGGGGCAGGCCCGGCCCCCCTGTCGCGGCCCGTGAGGGTGGGATCTGTGTCCCCCGCCCTCCCTGCCGGACCCCCAGTACCGGAAGTCGCTGTAGGGGTGGATGATCCAGGCCCCCGCTGACTTGACCCGCTCCTGCTCGATTTCCACTGCTTTGTGGCTGCCGAACACGCGAAGGGAGAACTTGTTGACCGTGGGCTGGAGCAGCGTCCCGAGCTGCCTCCTCTTGGGCTCAGGCCCGGTCCCGGGCCTGGACCCAGGGATCGGATCCGAGGCCGTGGTTGTAGACGCCGGGGCAGCAGGAGGCGCCCTCTCCAGCCCAGGGGTCGCCCCATCGCTGGCCCTAGTCGTCGGCCTCTGCTCCGCCTCCATGACGCCCGTTAGCTTACACGTTTGGCCTCCTAGACCCTGCCGCGGCCATTCGGGACCCCCGACCCCTCCCGGAGTCGGAGCGGGCGCAGCCCGGCTGACTCGGAGCGGAGGCGTAGTCGGCTAGGAACCGCCGGCGCGCGGAGAGGAGGGGGTGTGTGCGACAGACTCTCCCGCGGGCGGCGGGCGGGTTGCGATGCGCCCCCTGGCGAAAGCCGAGCGAAGGCTGGGCAGGGCGGGCGGAGGCGGGGCGGACCGAGAGCCATCCCGGGAGGGGGCGGGACCAATGTAACCTGTAACCCGAGGGACCCCCCCCAGGCGGGCGTGGCTTAGCCAATGGGGGCGGTCCTGCAAGTACAGGAAGAGAAGGAGGGGAAACGAAGCCAGTGCCACGGAGAGGAAATGGTCTAGAGTTGAAGGGCTTTTATCCCCTGAGTGCCAGGGAGGCGGAGCCGCCTGCGAGTGGCGGGTAAACCGGATGCTGGTTGTAGCTCGTGAGGCTCGGGAGGGCGAAGAATTGGGAACCAGTGGAAGAGATGGGGAATAGCTTTTAAGATTCTTCTTACCCACTCTCGCTTATGGACTTCCTGCGTTTCACTTTTTTTCCTCTCAGCACTCTCCTAGGCATACTCCTTTCTTCTGACCTCCTTCATACTGCTCCCCCTCGTATTTCATTTCCGAACTCATCTGCCAGCCCTCACCAAAAGCAATTCTGCCAGTTACTGAGTGGACGCTGAGGATACAAGGATGAACACAAAGTCCTATCCATAAAGCCAGTGCTCCTCTATGCCCGCAGATGAGACAGGTAAATTACAGTGCTATGTGATGTAAAGGGCTATTTTGGGGGTTTTTTTGGCTGTGCTGCGCGGCTTGCGGGATCTTAGGTCCCCGACCAGGGATTGAATTGAAACCTGGGCCCTCGGCAGTGAAAGTGTAGAGTCCTAACCACTGGATCACCAGGGAATTCCCTGAAAGTTCTTAAATATCTCAAATTCTTCCCCTCATCTCCACTTCTTATTGTCACTGCCTTATTTAAAGCCCTCAGAATTTTTACACCTAGATTATTTCAGACGCCTCTAAACGGGTCTCTGAACTCTCTCAGGCCAATTATTTTTCCACAGTCTGTCAGAGTTACCTTCCTAAATCCAAATGTAGCTATATCACTTGCTTAATGTCCTTCAAACTTCCCCATCTTCTATAGGATTACAGTTAAATTCCTTAGAATGACATACAAGGCCCTGCAAAATTTGGACCTAGTTTCAACAACCTTTATTGTGATAGTCCCTCTGTTGAAAGCCAGGAGTCCAATTCTGTTTAAATGTTTTGTTCTGCTTTGTCTCCAGACCTTTGCAAATATATTCTCTGCCTGCTATCCTTCTCCTCCAATTCACTTTCCAACAGTTGGTTCAGATGTCTTCTCCTCTAGGAAACCTAAATAGAAACAAATTTATAACTCTACTTTCCCAAGCTAGGGTCTAGTCTACAGCTTTCTTAGTGACCAGGGCACCGCTGTTTATAACAGCTCGTGTCACACAGCTGCCAATATTTGTTTACAGGTCTTTCTCTTCCATTAGACCATCGGTCCCCAACCTTTATGGCACCAGGAACTGGTTTCTTAAAAGACAATTTTTCCACGGATGGGGGGTGGGGTGGGGGATGGTTCAGGTGGTAATGCGAGCGATGGGGGGATGGTTTAGGCAGTAGAGCGACGGGGAGCGATGGGGAGTGGCAGATGAAGCTTTGCTTGCTCCCCGCCTGCCGCTCACCTCCTGCCGTGTGGCCTGGTTTCTAACAGGCCACTGACAGGACAGGTCCATGGCCCCGAGGGTTGGGGACCCCTGCGTTAGACTGTGAAGCTGTGAAGAACAAAAGCCTTACGCCTGCCACAATGCTGGACACATAGTGAACACTTAGTAAATGCTTGTTGAATGAATAAGGGAAGTGTTCATGGAAGAGCAAGTGAACTACACTGCCCTCTTCACCCCTTAATTATTCTTCCTCTACTATTTTAGGAACTTCCTAAACCATTTCTGGCCAACTGATGTAAGCTCCATCTGATTATCCACCATCCTGGCTTCCCTCAGATATTTTACTTGAATATAGTTATCCTCAGGTTATTTTTTTCATTTCCCTTATTATTTCTCAATTCCTTTTGTAGCGTCTCTAACTCTGCCCAGTTTGCCTCAAGGTCTCCTTCACTTTCCTCTTTTTTTTAATTCAGTAAATTTACACTTCTCATATATCATGTGTAAGTACGTAACATAAAGTTCTCAAAAAATTTCCCTTTCTTTGGCACCTGATTCTCCACCCCTCCATTTCTCAAACCTTTCCTCCAAGGCCATACCCCGATCCCCCACCCACCCCGAAACGTGCGTAGCTTTTGCTCAGGAGGAAAGGTGGGAGCCATTCTTTGCCGTGGTTAGGTTGCCGAACTGTTTTAAGAAATGAACTTTCACAGGCTATGCTTGAGAATCACACCTCACCACCAAGTCTCAAAAGGTTTGCGGAGCGGCGACATTCCGTAAACAACAACCCCTTCTTTTCAACCTCCAAACCTAACAAAACAAACCACAGAAGTCTCATTGAATAGGTAAAAGATCGAGGAAGGATACGGAAGGACACGAGGGGCTGAGGGGGGGCGCGGGCCTGGTAATCCCCGACAACTCTCTCCCCGCCCCCACGAACTTCCGCCCTAGCACCTCCTCCGCTCTCACGGGCTGACTGCCGCGAGCTACGCGAGGACGCGCTGGCGTGCGCGGTCCTGGGGGCGGAGCCCAGGGGTAGCTGGGAAGCGACGCAGGACGTGCGTGCGTGCGTACGTGCTCGCTCGCGGTGGCGGCGGCGGATCGGAGAGGCCAGAGCCGGAGACCGAGCTGGGATCGGGCCCCGGGCGGGGGCGGTGCGAGCGGCGCCAAGCGGATCCTGGGGGCGGGGACGGAGCCGGGGCGGGCGGGACTGGAGCGGAGGCCGGGAACTAGGCGGGAGGTCCCAGGGTCTCGGGTTAGGGGGGTGGAGCCGCACTTCGTCGCCGCGGGGGTGCCGGGACTCCGGCCTCAGTGCCGCCGCCATCACGGACTTCCTGTGGGACAAGCGCACGGGCCTCGCCGCCAGAACGGTGAGCGCGCGGGCTGGCGGGCCGCGGGGCCGCGCGGAAAGATGGCGACCGCAGGGCGGGCGGGAAGAAGATTGGATTGGGGGCAAGGGGTCTGGGCGAAATTAGGAGAGGGGGAGGGCTGAGAACTGGAAAGTGGCAGAGGTGAGGAGTAGGAAGATGAGATGGAAGGTCGACCTGCCCTAGATGTATTCTGGAAGACAGGTGGGGAAGTTGGGAGGGATCAAAGTAGGAGAAGGAGTGATGAAGTACGGATAGGAGTGGTTCCAGAGATGAGAAAGAGCAGAATATCAAAGTTGGACCAAAGCCGGAGAGGGGAAAGACACCACCGTGTCACTTGGAGGATATGGAAAGAGTTTTAACCTAGGAGTTATTTCTGGATTTTCTGAGTGAGAAAGAGAAAAAAAAGATGCACAAGTTGAGAAAGGTTGCAGGCTGGAGATCCTTGGGGGAATGTGGAGAAGGACAGCCAGTGAGGGACTTTGGTGGCAGTATGTATATGGTGAGATGACATTTGTGGGGCTGTGCTAAGCAAGATTGGATTACCTGGGAGAGTCTTGTGCTTGCATCTTCTTGGTTTCCTACAAGCCCTGTTAGGCCAGGAATGAATCAAATGCCACCCTCCTCAATTTGAGAAGTAGCTCAGAATAGGAGCCAGATATTGGAGTCATGCCTTTTCCACACCTAATCCTACCCCACCTAACAAGACTTCTGTCCCCGGGCCTATTTAATTGCTTTCTGCCCTCCTCTTCTCATCTTCCTGGATTGTGACAGTGATGACCCTCTGATTCTTTCCTTGAAGGAAAAAAAAGGATTTGTGCACCATGCCATTCCAATTCCAATAACCAGAAGGTGGCCAGCTTTTAGCCAACTGGTGCTGATATTAATTAAAAACCAGTTATTCTGTACTTAGTAAGCACAAAAGGGGAGGGGCTGGATGGGAAGCTGACTGCAGCTTGGAGCCACATGTATTTAAAACCACTCAAGGGGGATTTGGCCAGTGATGTGAGAAATGATTAAGATAGTTCAAGGGGCCAGACCCAGATCCCTGTAACTTGCTTATATTTGGTTTATACAACTATATGTAGAAACCTGGGAAACTGGATTCCTGCCTTCAGGACATGGATGGCCTATTTGGGGAGATAAGATACACTTTTAATGATTGTAAAACATTTGTGATAATAGTCTGTAGTACAGCATTATTTTGTTGAGTTATGAGGAACTTAGCATGGCACAGATCTATCCTAGATACCAGCCAATGATGAACTGTTGCAGTCTTTTTCAGTTACACATTCTCAACTGTAATGAGCTGTGGCCCAGACCTGAATGTCTTCATGAAGGCATGTTTGAGGAAAATCAGAATAGAACAATGAGCTGAGTGGGGCGGAAGAGTCCTAAAGTTTTTAGCTAGAGTTAGTAGGTGAATATATATACTCCATTAAGGAGGAATTGTAAGCACAGAGGAAGACTGAGGAAGTTGTGAATGGTTAAAAAAAAAAAGTAGAAATTGAAGAGCAGAAAGCAGCTTAGCATCTCAGGAGCAGCCAGTCCTTGGAGGGGACTTCTGAAAACTCAGAGCTCGCCCCACTATTGCTACTTTTCCTTCCCTTCCAGATGCCTCATCCTCGAAGGTACCACTCTTCAGAGAGAGGCAGCCGGGGGAGTTACCACGAACACTATCGGAGCCGAAAGCATAAGAGACGAAGAAGCCGCTCCTGGTCAAGCAGCAGTGACCGGACACGGCGGCGCCGACGAGAAGACAGCTACCATGTCCGTTCCCGGAGGTGAGCCTTCAGGAAGAGAAACTCACACTTGGCCCACTCACTTACTCGTTTTTTCAACAAAGATTTATTGGTTTCAAGCTAAGTAGCTGTTGGAAGGTGATGCTCAAAACGGATAACAAAATAACCTATTTACACTGTGGTGTTAAGAGTCTTATCACAGAGGAAGTATATAGTAAGGGGCTGAGGAAGCATCCAACAGGTTTGGTCGGCAGGATGTGTAGTTCAAGGAAATGTGACATCTAAGCTTGTCTGAAAGACGAGAGAAGTGTCCCAGACAAAGGAAAAGCAAGTGCAAAGGACTAGGGGCTAGAGATAACTAATGAGCTAATAGACAAGACAAAGTTAGGTCTCCATGGTTTTAATAACTTAGCAGCATGTTCAGTGGGAGGGATGGGTTAGGGATAGTTTGGAGCAAAGCTGGATATCAGTCAGGAATAGCTCAAAAAAGAAATGGTTCTTTATTCCATTACATCACTGGAGGGGAAGAGGAGGCCCTCAGAGGGAGTTGTTCTGCCGGTGTTTTCAGAGGTTTTGGTGATTTGCAGGTGTGGGCATCCTCCTCTGTGCTTAGTTACTTCACTGCCCTGGGCCTCGGTCCTCACAGAGAGACTTGAGTGTGTGAGAGCAACTTTTCTAGCGATACTCCTTGTCCTCGGTGAGGGAGGACCTTGTTACATGGTATGACAAGGAATGTGGCCTGAACAGATGCACTTAATGGGTGTTTGTTGTCCAACAGCAGCTATGATGATCGTTCATCCGACCGGAGGGCGTATGACCGGCGATACTGTGGCAGCTACAGGCGCAACGACTACAGCCGGGATCGGGGAGAAGCCTACTATGACACAGACTACCGGCATTCCTACGAATATCATCGGGAGAACAGCAGTTACCGCAGCCAGCGCAGCAGCCGTAGGAAGCACAGACGGCGGAGGCGGCGCAGCCGGACATTCAGCCGCTCATCTTCGGTGAGTGTCAGCCCAGGCCCTTCCTCTCCCCACTCTTCTTCAGCCCTCTGGGACCCTGGTAAGTGAGAAGTATCCTTGTTCTCATCTGAGCATTTGGGGCATGAACACTAAGGTGGGCACTGAGTCTGTCTACTCTCTTGGAAGCTCTCCGACTCTTGGAGGGCCCTGGAATCTGCTTTGGAGATTGATGGGCACAGAGCATTTGTGAACCCCAGTGCCCTCCCTGGCATGCTGGGCTTATTGTGTTGGGAGCAGCTCCTCCACCCCACAAGGCCTCCACTTTCTAATGGGGACCTTGCTTGTGAACTGCCTTTCTCCCCCATGGACTCCATGGCCCCGTCAGCAGGTGGGCTTGGGTGGGGGCAAGGGGAGACCTGTGTCCGCCTGGAAGGGCATCGTGTAGAGCATGGGGTTGTGGGTGACATTGGCAACGACACCACTTCTCTGCTCTGCCCGTGCCTCTCCCCGTTCCCATTATGGGTTTGGGGACTTGGGATTATGCGCCGCTCTCTCTTCTCACCCCGATCCGCCTTACTGCATCTGACGTGTTCCCTTCCACTGTCCCCCATCATCGTCTGTCCCCCCTGGCTGGGCGCCTGTGACCGGTGACCCCTCCACCACCCACCCCGCCTCCCTCCGGCCCCCGCTCCGACACCTGGCTTGCTCCGACCCCCCCCGCCCCCCGACAGCAGCACAGCAGCCGGAGAGCCAAGAGTGTAGAGGACGACGCTGAGGGCCACCTCATCTACCACGTCGGGGACTGGCTACAAGAGCGATGTACAAGCCAAATCGTAACAATCCTATAGCCTGTAATGGTCCCATAGCCATCCTAACGTCCCAAGCCAACCCAAGTCACAGCCTCTTTTGCCTTTTCTCAGTGGTGTTGTTTATCTGGGTGGTTTGAGTTGCTGTTGAGAATTGACCTCTGCTGTCCACTCCCAGCTCTCATGGCCCCTGGGTTAAAGGTGGTGGGAATCATGCAGGGGTTTTCTTCCCCTGTGACCATCTGTATCTGTTCCCCCTTCCTTCATCTCCTCACCCCAGGTTGCTGTACCCTTTTTTCTTCGAACTCAGCTCATTCCCCACCTTCTCTCCCTCCCTCTCCCCGACCCTGCTCTTTTTCATTTCAGATGAAATTGTAAGCACCTTGGGAGAGGGGACCTTCGGCCGAGTTGTACAATGTGTTGACCATCGCAGGTAACTGTCAGCTCCCCTCTGTACTCCACACCTGGTAGCCATAAAGAGATAGCGAGGGTTATCTGGGGCTTTTTTGCTAATGAACCATAGGTAGGATATCTTAATCCCCAGGCAGCCCTGTTCAGTCTGAGATGTTCTTGAGATTCCAGCAAAAGCCTCTCCTGCCATCCTATAGGGGTGGAGCTCGAGTTGCCCTGAAGATCATTAAAAATGTGGAAAAGTACAAGGAAGCAGCTCGACTTGAAATCAATGTGCTGGAGAAAATCAATGAGAAGGACCCTGACAACAAGAAGTAAGTGAGTGAAGGAGTATGTGGGGAGTCTGAGAGGCTCCACCCCTACACAGGAAAACCTTCCCGACCTGGACTAGACAGGCAGGGGAGTTGTAGACCTTCTCATCCATCCATCTTTTGTTCATCATCTTAGAGTAGTAGAACATTAGGGCAGGAAGGGAGGGTCTGTGACATTCTCTAATCCTTTCCCGTTGTTTTCAGGGCAGTTAGATTGCTCTGAAGTTTGGCTCCGACCCAAGATGGCCTCAGTAGGGATATGCCCTGGAAGTGGCCCTGAGACTGAGAACATTTTCATCAAAAAATTAGTTGTGCTTTTAATACCTAGAACTATGCTAATGAAGCCACAGACATTTATGTGTAATTTTTCTGATCACACACATTCCATAATCCAAATGTAGAATAAGAGTATTAAGCAAAGACATAAGTAGGTATAAACATGGGCCCAATGATGGCTGATGGTGAGTGAATTTCAGGAGCGGGAGTTGGGGTCAGAATGCAGAAGTGGCAGTTTGACAATTTACGGTCCACACTGAAGCCTGGCGCTTGGCAGCTCCTCAGCAAGTAGAACTTTTTTTAACTATTTAAAACGTTGCAGGAAAATGGTTTGAAGTTTCGCAGGTAGTACTTCTCTCCTTGGGTCTGCAAGAAAGGCCATTGCGTAGCTGAACTGAATTTTCTTGGTGGTAATAGCTGGCATGTTTTTATACAAGTATGTGGAATCAACAGCTATGCAGTCCCTCTTTGTTGGAGGGGTGGTGGGCAGATGGGAGCTCATCAGACATCCCCCTTCCCCCATCTCTCTTCCCAGCCTCTGTGTCCAGATGTTTGACTGGTTTGACTACCATGGCCACATGTGTATCTCCTTTGAGCTTCTGGGCCTTAGCACCTTCGATTTCCTCAAAGACAACAACTACCTGCCCTACCCCATCCACCAAGTGCGCCACATGGCCTTCCAGCTGTGCCAGGCCGTCAAGTGTGAGTGGGGCGGGCCGAGGTGGACTCTGGGGCAGCCCCTCCCTCCATTGGACCTCTTCTGTCTCAGTTGTGCACTGCTGAAGCCCCTAAACAGTCAACTCAATTATCTGCAGTTCTTTTATTCACTATCATGTTGACATCTTTCTCTTCTGACTTAACTCCTTCACTGATGTCCTTACCATCACTGATTACTCTTACTCCACATTCAACCTAGCAGGAGCTGGAAGAGAAAGTGTTTGAAGTCAAAGCACCTAATTACCTCTTTTTTCCTTTATTCCCCTTCCTTGGGAAAGTTGAAGTCAGGCAGCAAGCTCAAAGAGACAAAAAGATTCCTTGAGGTAGAGGTTTACATTTGTCTGAGCTGAGAATGCTCTCTGTTCCCAGCAAACCAGGCGGGAGCAGGGAGTAGTGCACCCAAGGGGCCAGGTAGGGACTAGTACATACTTCCTCTTGAGTCTTCATAACAGTACAGTTTCACAGAGTTGAATTCACAGGAGTCAGATAGACACATGTTAAAGTCAGTGCAAAAATGCAACCCATAGGGACTTCCGTGGCAGTCCAGTGGTTAAGACTCCATTCTTCCACTGCAGGGGGTGCGGGTTCGATCCCTGGTTGGGGAACTAAGATCCCGCATGTCACTTGGTGTGGCAAAAAAAAAAAAAAAACCAACCCGTAGCAAGCCATCTTTATACATTGGTTGAGAAGTACATGTATATCTGATGTTAATAAGTGTAGGGCTTCTGATGTGGTTGGACCTAGAAACTGTCATACAGAGTGAAGTAAGTCAGAAGGAGAAAAACAAATATTGTATATTAATGCATATATGTGGAATCTAGAAAATGGTACAGGTGAACCAGTTTGCAGGGCAGAAATGGAGACACAGATATAGAGAACAAACGTATGGACACCAAGGGGGGAAAGTGGCAGGGGTGGTGGTGAGATGAATTGGGAGATTAGGATTGACATATATACACTAATGTGTATAAAACAGATAACTAATAAGAACCTGCTGTATAAAAAATAAATAAAATTCAAAAATTAAATAAGTACAGGGCTTCTTAGACTAGGCATTTCATTTGGATGTAGAGCAGAAAGCAGCTTAGTGCTTCTGGACCTGCCTTCTCACCAGCTTTGAGCTAGGTGACCAAGCCTGGGGTCAGCTGGTACCAGTTAGCTCTGGCCACCTGGACCAACCCTGACCTGGCCTTCTCCCCTGCAGTCCTCCATGATAACAAGCTGACACATACGGACCTCAAGCCTGAAAATATTCTGTTTGTGAATTCAGACTACGAACTCACCTACAACCTAGAGAAGGTAAGATGGACAGGGTCCACCCCTTGGCGAGTGGGCACAGGTGGCCATGCCACTTTGCCTTTCTCTTAGCCCTTTCTGTCCTCCCTTTTACTTCTTTCTCCCACATTTTCTGCTCTGGCTCTGACTGAGTAAAACTGTAGTACCAGAATAGATGGAAGGGGAGAGATACAAGACTTAAATTGGAAGAGAATTTGGAAAAAGAACCTCAGTTAACTTCCCAGTAGAGTGAAAATGCTTTCAAGGTTCTTGGTTTGGGCTTCCTTTTCTTTCTGTAAGGAAAGCTCATCTCCACTGACTAACTGGAGATCATGGAGATCTCAGCTAAGGAAGCTATTCCTCACTTTGCTACCTGCTGTATATTTTGAGAAATAACTGTACACTAGTCACTTGGGTATACTCTTCAGATGCATAGAGATTTGCATGCTATTCCAGTTATTCCTAAATCTTCTTCCTCCCCCACTCCTAAAGTAGTCTGCTGGCTGTGGGGGCGGCTGTAAAGCAGAAGGCATGTGTGGGAGCAGGCAGGAGGTCAAAGTTGTTTTTTTAAGGCTCAGAAGTACTTTAGAGAATAGTGGTAGAAGCTCGGTCTGTTCATTCTCAGTCTCGGTGCAGAGGTTCACGTTCTTCCTGCTTTGCTCCTAGAAGCGAGATGAGCGCAGTGTGAAGAGCACAGCTGTGCGGGTGGTAGACTTTGGCAGTGCCACCTTTGACCATGAACACCATAGTACCATTGTCTCCACCCGCCATTACCGAGCACCGGAGGTCATTCTCGGTAAGGGGGGAAGGACAAGGTTGTCCAAGTATGTGAGGGGGTGTGGTGGTGAGGATAGGGCCCCCTGAGCCTCATAGTACCTTTTCCTTCCCATTCCTACCCAGAGTTGGGCTGGTCTCAGCCTTGTGATGTGTGGAGTATAGGCTGCATCATCTTCGAATACTATGTTGGCTTCACCCTCTTCCAAGTAAGTGGTGGGGTGTTTTATATGACCACTAGGTATTCTACCTAATTTCCTTGTCTGCTGAGGAGCTGCCTGCTCACTCCACATTGCTTATCTTCTTGGCGGCTAGACCTCAGCATCGCCTCTCGGTCCCATGCTCAGTTCTGTCTTTGTTTCCCAGACCCATGACAACAGAGAACATCTAGCCATGATGGAAAGGATCTTGGGTCCTATCCCTTCCAGGATGATCCGAAAGACAAGGTGAACCTCGAGTGGGAGGGACTTAACCCTTTTCCTTTTCTCTCCACAAAATTGGTCTCTATCACATCATTTTCTTTTTTCTTTGACACCTGCCCTCCCCTCAGCTACTCTTGAGATGAGGGAATAAGGGAATCATCCCACAACAAGAGGAACCTCCTGATTCCTCAACTTCCCCCTTCCCCTCTAGGAAGCAGAAATATTTTTATCGGGGTCGCCTGGATTGGGATGAGAACACATCAGCTGGGCGCTACGTTCGAGAAAACTGCAAACCACTTCGGGTGAGCCGGGCTGGGAATAAATTGTGCCCACCACCCAGAGGTCACTTCCTTCTTAAGGTGTTTTGCCCCTGGAATGCATTTCACAAGCAGAGGGTTAGGAAAGAAGGGGAGGAAAACTGAAAGAAGACATCTTATGTTGATAGAAGAGAGATAAGAGGGAGTGGTTTTATGGAGGGAATGAGGTTAGACAGCCATGTTTTTCTTGAGCCAACCAGAGATGAAAGCAATGTCCTGGATTCTTTAGGTCAGGCAAAAAAGAATAAACTACCTTTGAAGAGGTTACATTTTATTGACGAGCTAAAGAAGATTCATGAAGTTGACAAGGATATACAAGTAGAACTTTCAAAGAGTATGAAGGAATAATTGTGCTAGTGGGAAGGTAGGGTGAGCTGTGACATCAGAAATGGTCACGGTGTGGTCATTCATAATGGTAGCAAGCAGAGCTGTGGTCCTTCAGGATTGAAATCTAGGGCCTTGAAGAACGCAGGGTTTGTAAGGCATCGTGCTTCACCTTTTTCCTGCCCTCCACCACCAGCGGTATCTGACCTCAGAGGCAGAGGAACACCACCAGCTCTTCGATCTGATTGAAAGCATGCTAGAGTATGAACCTGCTAAGCGGCTGACCTTGGGCGAAGCCCTTCAACACCCTTTCTTCGCCCGCCTTCGGGCTGAGCCACCTAACGCCAAGTTGTGGGACTCCAGTCGGGATATCAGTCGGTGACGATCAGGCCCTGGGCCCCTCTGCCACTCTAACAGCAGTGGGTGTCCAGTCCAGGACACTGGTGCTTTTTTATACAAGAGAACAGAGCCGGAGCCCACTTCTTCCTACTGGCTCCCTATGTACCTGTGAATATGTGAAATAGTGTAAATATGAAAGAACTTGGACCTATCACTTCAACCCCTGCCTTGTACATAATGCTATTCCATCTCACACTCTTCCCACCCTCACTTGCCCCTTCACAGATGAGTTGGATGGGGGCAGAATGAGGTAACCAGATGGCATCTATCCCATGTTTTATAAGGAATTTTGTACAGTCTTTGTGAAATAAAATGACGTGCTTCATCTGACCCCCATCCCTGGAATTTGAGGTTTGGGGCTGCTGGGGTGGAGGGATGAGAAGATTGGCAACGAAGGGAGCCCCATCTTATCCTCTAAAGTTAACTGTAGTCAGGTTACCAGTTTACCTGTCCAGTTTGTCTCGGGAGGAGAATGATGGGTGGGTAACATTTCTTGACGGTGAGAAGGGTTATCTGGAATGATACGGTTTGGGAAGGAGGTTCGATTACTGTAGCTCTTAGGCTGGGCCCCAGGATAGAGCCAGAAATACAGATAAAAAAATTTGCTCAACTGGGTTCCTGGGAGACTACCACCACCGGTCGGAAGACCCCGGTCGTATGTCTCTGGAAGACTAGGAGGGACCGGGATTCTGACGCGAGGCCTGCTGGGAGGTGTAGTTCGTTAATAGAGGGAAGTCACGTGGGGAAGGGGCGGTACTTGGCGACCGAGACTTAGTTAGAGGTGTCACGTGGAGCACTTCCTTCTTTGCCTTTGACCGAGACGCAGGCGCAGCCCTCCTGCTGCTGCGGGGATCCTTGTGACCCTTCCGGTGTGTAAAGCCAATCCGTGCACAGAGAAGCGGGGCGGACCGAGAGGAGCGGAGGGAGCTCTGAGAGCCACTGCCGCCGCCACTGCCGCGGCAGGGGCGTGGAGGGCAGGGGGCGGCCCAAGCCGAAGTTGCAAACATGGCTCAAAGCAGAGACGGTGGAAACCCCTTCGCCGAGCCCGGCGAGCTTGACAACCCCTTTCAGGTGACTTGCGCCGGCCTCTTTGGGGCAGCTGGGGTGATTTCTCGAGTCTAGAGGGTCGGGCTAACTTGTATTCCCGTTCGTGACATTTGATCCGAGGAAGGGCCGCCACGTGGGAGTGACTACTCCAAACCAGTGAGCATCCTGGGGGGGCGGGCCCTGCCCCTTAAGGAGCTGGTACTAGCAGTGTGGCGTGAAGGATTGGGGGCAAATATGGGGACAACAGCGTGGCCCCCAAGCTGCAGTCCTTGGAGCCACAGCAATTGAGAAGAGGCCCCTGTGAGTTACCCCAGAGGTACCAGGTGGCAGCTGAGCCCCAGATCTTTGCCCACAGGACCCAGCTGTGATCCAGCACCGACCCAGCACGCACCATGCCACGCTTGACGTCTACAACCCTTTTGAAACCCGGGAGGTGAGATTCCGGGAGCACGGCTGGGCGAGGAAGGGTAGGGTATGCTAACAGGCCCACTTTGTTGGGGTATAGGGGACGTTTTTGCACGCAAAGGAAGAAACACCGTGATCTTAGCTCCCTGAGAGAGGCCAGTCTGCCATGGGATGCCTAATCCTTCTAAAGACACTAAGGCCAAGGATCCATCGGTTTGAGCTCTAAATGTCAGTCTTGGGAGGACCTAGAGTCTGGCAGGGCCTGATGAAGACCCTGTCTGGGGAGCCTTTTTTGAAGAAGAAAAGGGATGGGGCCGGTTGGAGTTGCGGAGAAAACACACTATGTTTAGGTATACAGTTAGAAAACAAGGGTTGAAGAAGACTAGACCTGTTTGTCTCACTGCAGTAGAAAAAGGTAAGAGTTTTTAAAAGTGTAAGGAGGTTGATACGGTAGATTAGTGCTTTGAGTCCTGGGTAAGGAACTCGATGTGAGGGGTTATGAGGGCTGCTGCAGGTTGTAAAAGAGTTCTCTGATACAAACACAAGAACTAGCTTTCTAACAACAGGGGGAGGGGCTGCCACCTTAGGTAATGAGTTCTAGGTCTAAAGGTATTCAAGTAGACTCTAGATTCCTGTGTTATGAAGGACTAGATAATCCCTAAGGTTTTTTCCAAACTCAACAGCCACCACCAAGCTATGAGCCTCCTGCCCCTGTTCCGATAGCTCCACCCTCAGCTCCCCCTTTGCAGTCTTCAAGAAAGCTCAGCCCCACAGAACCCAAGAACTATGGCTCCTACAGCACCCAGGTAAAGGGGGTGTATGGGTAGGGGTTGAGGAAAGGGGCCAGCCCTGGGGTTCAGGACTCACATTGCCCTCTGCTCATACTGGTCAGGCTTCAGCTGCAGCAGCCACAGCTGAGCTGCTAAAGAAGCAGGAGGAGCTCAACCGGAAGGCAGAGGAGTTGGACCGGAGGGAGCGAGAACTCCAGCATGCTGCCCTCGGGGGCACAGCTAGTAAGTGGATCCTTGATAGGGTTGGGGAGGGCATCTGACAGGTTCGAAGTCTCAAAAAAGGACCTCAGAGCATGGGCACTGGAGCCAGACTGCTGAGTTTGAATTTGGGTGCTATGTCTTATTAAGGGTGAGCTCTTAGGCAAGTTATTTAATCTTGAGTGCCTCAGTTTCCTCACTTGTAAAATGAGAATAATGTTTGTACCTGTTTGACAGGATTTTTATGAGGGTTAAACAAAGTCATCTATACAAAATACTGGGCACAGTTCTTAGAAGTTGTAAGTCATAATAAACACTTAGTATTAATATAACTTTTGCTACTTGCCCTTGTTTCTTTGAACCCTCAAATTGGAAACAGAAGAGAGGACCCGGAGGTGAAAGGAAGGGGGAGTGATTTGTTGGTTTCTGTCTCACTTGTGAGATCCTCCTGCTCTTTTTGTGCCTTACAGCTCGACAGAACAATTGGCCCCCTCTACCTTCTTTTTGCCCAGTTCAGCCCTGCTTTTTCCAGGATATCTCCATGGAGATCCCCCAAGAATTTCAGAAGACAGTATCCACCATGTACTACCTCTGGATGTGTGAGTAGTGAGAAGCCTTTTTGAAGGAAAAGTACGGGTAGTAACTTGTACATCTTTCTTTTCCTGGAGCCCACTCACCCAGAACTAGACACTTCACCTATCCTCAGCATTTGAGTTTAAGGCTCATTTCTCCAGGAATCTTCCTGGATTACTCCTTTTATAGTATTTAGAACTTATTCTCCAGCCTTCTAGCAAATGTATGTTCTTGCCCTCTCCCCCTTCCCCCTGTCCTTATGCATAAATGTATTCTGAATCCTTTAAATGTCTTTGCCAAGGGGATCACACATGATTGAGATTTGCTAGTTCGGTCTCCCCTGCTGAGGATCCTGTGAAGGCAGAAGCCGCCTTCCTCTCCTTAGTCTGCCACATTTGGTGAGGGCTGTGGGGTGGCCTTCTAGGGAAAGGAGCTTTCACTGACCCATCATCCTGTTCCTCTAACCCTTAGGCAGCACTCTGGCTCTTCTCCTGAATTTTCTTGCCTGCCTGGCCAGCTTCTGTGTGGAGACCAGCAATGGCTCAGGCTTTGGGCTCTCTATCCTCTGGATCCTCCTTTTCACCCCCTGCTCCTTCATCTGTTGGTACCGCCCCATGTATAAGGCTTTCCGGTAAGAAGGGGGAGTGGGGATGGTGGAAAGGGAGGGGACTTGGATGGGTCCCATTCTGCTTCTCCAACCCTAATTCTTTGCCTACACTTCCCTTTCTTTCTCTTTGCAGGAGTGACAGTTCATTCAATTTCTTCGTTTTCTTCTTCATTTTCTTCGTCCAGGATGTTCTGTTTGTCCTCCAGGCTATTGGCATCCCAGGTTGGGGGTTCAGGTCTGTGAGGCTGCCATCTACGTTCACCCCTTCCTCCCACTCCTGTAGACCAAGTCAGCCTTGGGTACTGGCATAGGAGTTGTTCAGAAAAAGGAAATGGTTTTTATCCTTGGGAGGTGCTAATTTAACCAGAGAGACAAGATGTCCTCCATGATAGAGAGCCCAGACACAACTCTCAACAGACATAGATTAAGGGAAAGATGGCTGTGGTCAATCTGAAGAGGCTTCCTGGAGGAGACATGTGTAACCATGGTTGGAGAAGAGGAAGAATCCTCAACAGAAAGGTCTGTTTGGAGTGAGGATGTCTGGAAGATCTTGGAGAGCTGGGAGCTGATCGTTCAGAAGCTGGGATTAAACTGTGAAGAGAGTAGGTGTAGTTTGGGATTGCAGTGCATGGCAAGCTGCCAGACTGACAGGAAAACGGCCTCTGGTGGGAAGACATAACCAGCAGAGAAGCTGGGGGGACAGAGACCCAGCTGTGAGCAGCCCCTCTTCACTTCCACATACTTTCCCCTCCTTACAGTGGCTGGATCTCTGCTCTGGTGGTGCTGAAGGCCAACACAGCTGTAGCTGTGCTCATGCTGCTGGTTGCCCTGTTCTTCACTGGCATTGCCGTGCTGGGAATTGTGATGCTAAAGCGGGTGAGGGGCTGTAGATGGGGCCAGGAGAGTGAGATCATGTGTCCCTAGGGGCATGGGTGGAACATTCAGGAGCAACTGAGGAGGGCCAGGCTGATGAATGGGTTCTCAGCTAATGGACCTGGGAGGCGGGTGTTGTGGGCTATGTGTGGGTGTGGGTTGGTAGGGAGCCACGAGGGAAAAGCTAGAGCTGCAGGCTGGTGAGTGGTGGTGATGGCGTTAGATTGGAGTGGGGTAACACTGGCCAGAACGTGCTGTAAAGTCTGTGCCTCTACTTGCAGATCCACTCCTTGTACCGCCGCACAGGTGCCAGCTTTCAGAAAGCCCAGCAAGAATTTGCAGCTGGTGTCTTCTCCAACCCTGCGGTGCGAACCGCAGCCGCCAATGCAGCCGCTGGGGCTGCCGAAAATGCCTTCCGGGCACCGTGACCCCTAACTGGGATGCCCTGGCCCTGCCACTTAGGGGAGGTGACCTAGCCCCCATCCCTGAGGTCTCTGGGACTTGATGAGACGTCACTACCTGATGTCTTCACTATAGTGCCCCCAGTCCCACAGCCATGACTGCTGAACCTGACTTAAGGGTGTGGGGAGCCCAGTGTGACCCAGTCACTGCTTCCCTCCCACTCCCCTTCCCCCAATCAGGCCACACTGCTGCCACCTCTACACACCCCAACCCAGATTCCTTCTGCTGTGCCAAGGCTGTTGCTTCGGTTATTTAAATAAAAAGAAAGTGGAACTGGAACACAAATCATGCCGTTTCCGGAATTTTAATGGGAGCTAGGCCTTATGGAAGAGAAAGTGGAGGAGACTAGAATGGAAGCAGAATGTGGACTCCAGAGGGAAGGTCTGACCTGGCCTTAGTGTAGATGGAGAGCTCTCGGGGATGGGACAGCAGCGCCCGATGGCAGGCGCAGAAAGAGGGAGGGAAGTCCACGGTTGGGGTGGAATCGCGGAGCTGCCAGGAAGCCTAGCTCCCTACCCTTCTCCATTAATGACAGGGAAGAAGCTGCAACTTCTCCTGGGAACACAGCAGGCCGAGGGGCCTGAGAGGCTGGGTGGAGCTCAAGTGGGAGCCGAAAGCGTTGTTAGCTCTGGCGGCCAGCTCGCCCTGCAACCCTGCCTCCTGCTCCCTCCCTCCCTCTCCCCTTCTCCCTCTCCCTCCCTCCCTCCTTCCCTCTCCCCCTCCCACAGGGTCTCTGGTGGGGACTACAACTCCCGGGGTGCGCCGCGCTGGCCCTCGCACCATGCCCCTCCTCCCGCACCATCCCATCCCCATCCCCATCCCCCGCCTCCAGTCCCGGACCTGCTGCAGCTGAGCTGGGGGAGCAGGGGTGTGGTGGGGAGGGGAGCGGGGCTGGCGACCCAGGAGGCGGCGGGGCCGCCGCAGCCTCTCCCCACCAGGCAGCCTCGGATCCCACTGGACACTGAGGGCACACCGACCGCGCCTCTAGAGTCACGCCGCCTCTCCCCTCTTCTCTAGATTTCTTTCCCATCCTTCTCGCCTTCACCCTTCCCACCCTTCCCTGGGTTCCGGACCGCCGCCCTCTCTTCACTCCCGGACCGGCCCTTCTCGGCGCCTCTCTTCTCTAGGGAGATGCGATGAGCCGGTGCCCCCGCGTCCTCATCGCCGTCCCGGGCACGGTGCCCGTCCAGTGCCCGTGGTGGGGAGGGAGCGCTCCGGGGCCCCTCCGTGACGCCCCTCCCTTGACCCCCTCCTCAGCTGGAGTCCCTGGGCCATGCCCCAGGGGACCCAGCCAGGGGGTGGGGTCTAGAGCGAGGGGGGTGGAGAGGAGGAAGGACGGGGCCTCGGGCGCCTCTGAGATGCTCCCAAGCGTCAGGGGGGGCCGAGCGAGGCTCAGGCAACCGGGCGGCAGGCATGATGCCCTCGCCTAGTGATTCCAGCCGCTCGCTGACTAGCCGGCCCAGCACCCGGGGCCTTACCCACCTCCGCCTCCACCGACCCTGGCTGCAGGCTCTGCTCACGCTGGGGCTGGCTCAGGTGCTCCTGGGCATCCTGGTGGTCACCTTCAGCATGGTGGCCTCATCTGTCACCACCACCGAGAGCGTCAAGAGATCCTGCCCGTCTTGGGCTGGATTCTCGGTGAGTTGGGTGCACAGTTGTTGGGTGGGGGAGGCTCCTCGGGCCCCACCCCTCCACACCAGCTGCCAGTCCAAATCCTGGCCTCTCCTCCCTCTCCTGGTCCTCCTCCTCCTTACAGAGCTGGGTGCACCCTGTGGTGAGGGGCTCACTCAGGTGCCTCCCCTGTCAGGCTGAGCCTGTGCCCACTCTATCCCCAGCTGGCGTTTTCCGGGGTGGTTGGCATTGTGTCTTGGAAGCGGCCGTTCACTCTAGTGGTAGGTGCCAGGGTCTGATGCCCACGGGGAGGCAGGTGCCTAGCACCTGAGGGGATGCCTATTTATGCCCTCGAAAAGGGAATTGACTCTCCCATTCACGCTGTCCAGGCACAAATGTCTGTGAGGGAGGGTGGCTCCATCTGCGGTAGAGGGTACTCTTGGGGTCCCAGCCCTGAGTCTGTGCCCTGTTTCCCCCAGATTTCCTTCTTCTCCTTGCTTTCGGTGCTCTGTGTCATGCTCAGCATGGCTGGCTCTGTTCTCTCCTGTAAAAACGCTCAGCTGGCCCGAGACTTCCAAGAATGCATCTTGGTGAGATTTGAGGATAGAGAGCCTGAGAGTGCTGGTTGGGGGAGGTGCGCAGGACAACCTGGGCTTGTCCTGATTCAGGCTGCCTCACCCTCTCCACTCCCACTCAGGACGGAAAGGTCTGTGTGTGCTGCCCTCCTGTTCCTCTGCTGCGGCCCTGTCCAGAGTCAGGGCAGGAACTGAAAGTTGCCCCTAACTCCACCTGTGATGAAGCCCGAGGGGCCCTCAAGGTGAGCATGCACCCGCCCCCCCACCTCCGCCATTCCTTCCTCTCCCGCCATCTTCCTGGTTCTCACCCTTCTGCCTCCTCCTGGAGTCCTCACAGGCCCCGAGTATGTGGGATTTACTCCACCCTAGGCTCCTCTCACATCCCTCTCTCTCTCTTGCCTTCCCCAGAACTTGCTCTTTAGCGTCTGTGGGCTCACGGTTTGTGCTGCCATAATCTGTACTCTCTCTGCTATTGTTTGCTGCATCCAAATCTTCTCCCTGGACCTTGTGCACACGGTGAGTGGGGAGCCGGGGTCAAGGCTGAGAAGGTAGGATGCGGGCAGGGTATGTGTGCTGGGATTGGGCTTGAGGGGTGATGGTTACAGTGCTGGCTTTTGAGCACCAGGGGCTGTGCAGGGTCACCTGTTAGGCATGTCTGTTGCAGGGATATTTAGGGGGTCCAAAGGAGGGTGAGGAGGGAAATGACAGGGAGTAAGAGAAGTATGTGATGCCAGTCTGGGGGCATTGAAGAGTGGGACTAAAAGTTGGGCGGAGTCAGGAAGGTCTTAGATGGGGGTGGGGATAATGGGTTGATGTTCTGGTGGGGACAGAGAACAGATAGTGATTCTGGGTGCAGAAAGGTCCATGTAGAGGAGGACTTTCTAGATGGGCAGGGCAAGAGCTGAAGGTCCTCGGCTGGGACAGGGTTAGAGGAGGAACTGGTTTGGCAAAGGGGCCAGAACTGAGCTTCTTGGAGGGGGTGGGGCCAGAAAATGTAGATGAGAGAGGAGTTTGGGAGCCAAGGAGCTGTATTCCCAGAAACCAAGTTTGCTGACTTGCTTGCTCCCCAGCAGTTGGCCCCTGAGCACTCAGTCTCAGGCCCTCTGGGGCCTCTGGGCTGTACATCCTCGCCCCCAGCCCCTCTCCTACACACCATGCTGGACTTGGAGGAATTTGTACCGCCTGTGCCCCCGCCGCCCTACTATCCCCCAGAGTACACCTGCAGCTCAGAAACAGATGCACAGAGGTGAGGCCAGGTGGAATCTGTGGGGAAACTAAGGAAGGCGACTGGGGCTGAGGCCGGGGATTGGTGGGGAGGGATCTTTTTGGAATAGGAGTTCTTTCCCAGGCTTTGACCCTCTCCCTCATCCTGCCAGCATCACCTACAATGGCTCCATGGACAGCCCGGTGCCCCTGTATCCTACTGATTGCCCCCCTTCTTATGAGGCCGTCATGGGGCTACGAGGAGACAGCCAGGTGAGAGCAGGGTTTGGTGTGGGCTGGGGAGTCAGAAATAGAGCCTGAAAAGCTGGGTGAGCAGCTGTCACTGGATAAAGATAATACTAGTTCTCATGATCTTTATAGCACTAGCACATTCGCTGTCATCTTTGATCTGCCTGAGAGCTTGGAGAGGTGAGTGGGGTAAGAACTATGATTTCCATTTTACAGATGTGGAAACTGAGGCCCACATAAGTGACTTGAACAAAGTGACAAAGCTGGACTGGAATCTAGGTCTCCAGAGCTCTGTCCAGCCTGTGGCATGGCCTAATCAGTGTGTAGGGCTTGACCCTTGACCCTTGTGTCTTCTGCAGGCCACTCTGTTTGATCCTCAGCTTCATGATGGCTCCTGCATCTGTGAGCGAGTGGCCTCCATTGTAGATGGTGAGCAGAAAGTGGGGAGGGTGGACAAGGTCTGGGATGCCTGGGATAGCAGAGCTGGGTGTGGGGGGCAGAGGGGGAGAGATGAGACCAAGTTGGTGGTTGAGGGACAAATGAGGGCTGGGGCTTCTTGCAAACCTGGGCTTAGTTGTCTCCTCTGAGATAAAACTGGAGGCAGGATGGCCCGCAAGAGGCTGGGCCTGAGAAAAGAGAAACCGCCTGGGCCCGGCCAGGCTGGTGCTACCCGGCAGCCCCTACCACCCACAGTGTCCATGGACAGCGGGTCTCTGGTGCTGTCAGCCATCGGTGACCTCCCCGGGGGCTCCAGCCCGTCGGAGGACTCGTGCCTGCTGGAGCTGCAGGGCTCCGTGCGCTCCGTTGACTACGTGCTCTTCCGCTCTATTCAGCGCAGCCGCGCCGGCTACTGCCTCAGCCTGGACTGCGGCCTGCGGGGCCCCTTTGAGGACAGCCCCCTGCCCCGGCGGCCCCCGAGAGCTGCCCGCTCCTATTCCTGCTCTGCCCCCGAGGCCCCACCCCCGCTGGGTGCCCCCACAGCTGCCCGAAGCTGCCACCGGCTGGAGGGCTGGCCGCCTTGGGTGGGACCCTGCTTCCCGGAGCTGAGGCGGCGGGTCCCCCGGGGAGGCAGCCGGCCAGCTGCAGCCCCTCCCCCCCGAGCCCCGGCTCGCCGCTTCAGCGATAGCTCAGGTTCCCTCACCCCACCGGGGCACCGGCCTCCTCAGCCGGCTCCCCGACCACCGCTGCTGCTGCCACGGTCCCACAGTGACCCGGGCATCACCACCTCCAGCGACACCGGTGAGCCGCCACAAGGTTCAGGAGAGGGCAGGCACTGGGAGTTAGAGGGCCAGTGATACCCACCAGGATTTGGGACACTGTTGAGGTCCCTGGGGAGGAAGAACGGGTGAATTCACTCCTGCGGTAGACACTTCTTATGTCACCTCCTAGAAATACATCAATAGCTTAGTGGCTAAAAGAAGAGGATTTGGTATTTGGAACGCAGTCTCACAGTTCCCAGCTTGGGCTAGTTACCTACCCTCTCCAAGCTTCAGTTTTTCACCTGTAAAACAGGTATAATAACAGTACCTCACCATAGGTACTGTGGAGTTACCGAGGCGAGATGCAGGTCAAGTGCTTAGCCCTGGCACAGAAAGTGTTTGTCATTACCATTATGTGCCAGGTACTGGAGAGGCTGCAGCAGGGCACGATAGTGCCTTAGTCCCTGATTTGGTGGATCGTACCATCTAGTTGCTGGTGGACCTGAGCAGAGATGATGCCCCCCTGGTTGGGAATGGGGTGTGGAAGCTGGGCTTGAGTTCTCAGGAGGGCGTGAGATTGGAGGGCGCATCTACTGAGCACTCCCACTCAGTCCCTGTCTCTCTCTTCCCTCTCAGCTGAATTCAGGGACCTTTATACCAAAGTGCTTGAGGAAGAAGCTGCTTCCATTTCCTCTGCAGATACAGGTGAGGCATATGGTTGGTGCCCAGGGGGCAGTGGGTAGGGGAGTAATGCCTGGCCTTTTCTGCACCTCCCATTCCACCCACTCTCCCTCTCCCTCTCTCTGTCTCTCCAGGGCTCTGCTCTGAAGCCTGCCTCTTCCGTCTAGCCCGTTGCCCTTCCCCCAAGTTGCTACGTGCCCGCTCAGCCGAGAAACGGCACCCTGTGCCCACCTTCCAGAAGGTCCCCCTGCCCTCAGGCCCTGCACCTGCCCACTCCCTGGGGGACCTGAAGGGCAGCTGGCCAGGCCGCGGCTTGGTCACTCGTTTCCTCCAGATGTCTAGGAAGGCCCCAGACCCCAATGGGAATGGAGCCCATGGACATAAGCAGGTAGAGTGAGGGGATCCAGGGAAGACACCCAGGAAAGCCTGGTGTTTCAGGTGGGACCACACTGATGCTCTTTCCTGTGGCCCCATCTAGGTGCCCCGGAGCCCATGGGGCCGGCCAGGCCGAGAGAGCCTCCACCTTCGCAGCTGCGGCGACCTCAGCTCCGGCTCCTCCCTGAGACGCCTCCTGTCTGGCCGCAGGCTGGAGCGCGGCACCCGCCCCCACAGCCTCAGCCTCAATGGGGGCAGCCAGGAGACTGGGCTCTGACCTGGGCATCTTCCCACACTGAACAGATCCAGATGAATGCTGGGGCCACAGGCACCAGCTGGTTGGGACCAGCAGCCTCCAGCACCCCCTTGCACTGGCTGACACAAAAAGAAACCTGCTGAACACCCCCAGAAGTATCCCTTTCCCTCCTACCTCTAGGGGCTCCTGCTGCTTGCCTCTGCCCCTCCAGCCTGGGGAGACCTTCTGTCCTGCGCTGCATGGGTGTTCAGGCTGTGCGGAGAGATGCCCCTGCTTAGAGCGTTGGAGGAGGAAAATAAAGTCCTGTTCCTCCAGCATGAGAGTAACTCTCTCTGATTCACCATGGGCCCTGTGGCCAGGGCAAAGGCATGTCCCGGTTGTTCAAGCACAAGGGGCTGTATGCCTGTGCAATGGGGTGATGAGGCATGAAGGGTCAGAAAAATCTGGGTGGCCTCTCAGCTCTGCCACCTTTAGCTGCAGCATGATCTTGGGCAAGTTATTTAACCTCAATTGCCTGATCCATAAAACATTGTGAGGACGAAAGTTTGTAAAGCTCTTAACACACTAAGTAAGGCTTCAATAAATTTCAATTTTCCCTTCTCTTCTGGTTCATTCTTTGTCACCATTGAAATTTATTCTAGCATCTCTCATAGTTATGAAAACTCTCAAGACGCTGATATCTATTTCCAGCTACCACACAATATCTCTGCCCCTTTTCATTGCCAAACGTTTTTTCTCTTCCTTCCTTCCACTCTTGAACATGCATTCTCTCCTCGCCCATTTCCATCAGGCTCCTTCCCCTACCTCTCCCCAGGCACTGCTCTTTTTCTTTTTAATTTTAATTATTTATTTTTGGCTACGTTGGGTCTTCGCTGCTGCACATGGGCTTTCTCTAGTTGCAGCGAGCGGGGGCTACTCTTTGCCCAGGCTTCTCATTGCAGTGGCTTCTCTTATTGCAGAGAACGGGCTCTAAGCACGCGGGCTTCAATAGTTGTGGCTCGCAGGCTCTAGAGCGCAGGCTCAGTAATTGTGGCGCACGGGCTAAGTTGCTTCGCAGCATGTGGGATCTTCCTGGACCAGGGATCGAACCTGTGTCCCCTGCGTTGGCAGGCAGATTCTTATCCACTGCACCACCAGGGAAGCCCCCAGGCACTGCTCTTGACAAATTTTTCATTAAGCAAAAAAGTTAGACCCACTGGCCAATTCTCTGCCTGCGTTTCACTTGAACTCTAAGAAGCATTTAACCCAGATAATCAGCATCTTTCCTCTTGAATTTTTCCCTTTCTTGTCTCTGAAAACATCATACTCTCCTAATTTTCCTTCTACTTTACTGTCTTGGTATCTTGTCAGAGTTCACACCTCTGCCCAACCGCTTAACACTGGAGGGCTCCAGGGCGCTTCCCTTGGCCCCCTTTTGTCTACCTCCAGTCTGTAAGTGGCCCTGTCAAGATCCATGGCTTTAAAGGCCATCTATGTGTTCATGGATAACTCTCTCCTTTACCTCTCCGTGAGCTCCAACCTCCAATTTGACATCTTTGCTTGGATATTTAATGGGCCTCTCAGACTCAAGATGGCCACAATGGAACTCTTGATTCCCACCCCAGCACCTGTTCCTCTTCCAACACCCCCCATCTCAATAAGTGGCACCATCACTCACCTAGCTGCACCTTCCATAAGCTTGGGAATCACCCTCATTTCTTCTTTCCCCTCATCTAACACATCTGATCCTACCCTGAATTCATCCATGTCTCACCAGCTACCTAGCCCTAGTCATCACCCTCTCTCCCAACCTCTTGATCTATTTCCATTCTTCCTACAATCCATTCTCCACTCAGCAAAGTGATAAGAAATCGTGTCATATTAAAGTTCTGCCTAAACGTACTGGCTTTCCACTGTATTTAGAATAATCTCCAAACTCCTTATGAAACTATGGTCAGGTACAACCTGGTCCACTCTGCTTCAGCCAGACTGCGTTGCACAAGGGCCTTTGCACGAGCTAGCTCTTCACCAACACGAAACTCGATGCCCTATATCTGTTGCTTTCACCTAATTCGGGTCTTAGTTCCATTCTCACGTTTTTGTTGAGCACTCCCCATTCTATCATACCGCCTTGTTTTGAACACCCGTCACTAACCAAAATTACCTTGTTTTTGTTTTCTGTGTCGTCCCACAGAATGCAAGCTCCTGAGAGCAGGGGCTTGCTCATTGCACTGGATCTAACACTTAGTAGGTCCTCAACAAACTCATTAAGTTATTAAAAGGCAGAGTGGGGCCTTGTAAACAGCTTGGAGACTCTATGACTTTGGGGATAGCCGTGGGGCCCTACAGGAGAGGAAGCGGGTAGGGAGAGGCACTGCCCATAGATGGCGTCTGGCTGCAAGGCTTCTTGAATAATTCACCATCATAACAACCCAGCTTCAGGGAGGGAGAGTTAGGGCGCAGCCAGAACGACAAAATGAGGTAGCAGGGATTGGAGATTGGGTTCCCAACGGGGCAGTTTCTGGGCACTGAATGTTCCCTATCCTGAGGCTCCCAACGGAGGAAGTTCAAGAATCCATCTTCAATCTCCCCCAACCCTTAGAGTGTGCTGGTGAGTGTAAAACGAGGCGCATGCGCGCTTCTCCCTTCCCGCGCCCTCTTTCCGAATAGACCCCCAGATACGCTTGCGCCCTATTAGGGCTACGGCTGGTCAGCGAAAACAGTCCGTCCCCAGCACAACCAATAGGACGTGAGGAAAGGGCCTGCGTCCCGCCTCCTGACGATTCGGGGGTCTCCCTTCTTGAGCTAGGCCCCGGCCCCGCCCCACCGGCCCCGCGGGGCTCGCGGCTGCGCGTGGTGCAGTGCAGCCTAGCTCTGCTGAGCCCCCTTCTACCGCCCCGCCCACCCCGCTTTGCAGGCTGCTCTGGGATTTCCCTTCGCCTCCGTTTGGGGCTGCTGTTTCGCTTCGCCGACGGTAGGCGTAATGGATTTTGCACTTTTGGCATCTTAACTCTCCTTTCCCTGCGTCTGCACTTCACCTTTTTATCATCATTGTTATTATTAATTGTAGGGATGGTTGTATTTTACTAATGAAGAAGAGGGGGAAATCTTCAAATCCTCTTCTACCCACTTGCTTTTTTGAGGGGTGGAGTGGAAAGAAAGTCTATGTAATTTATCCATTCTTCAATCATCCGACGGATGTTCAATGAGCACGGGACGAGCACCGGGTGCTGTGCTACGTGCTGGGGATACAGACTGATCCCCGCCCTACTGGGCTTTCTCACGGACAGATCAGCAGACAAAGGAGTTAGCAGGCTACTGGGTGCTATAACTGACATTAAACCATTTGTACAATTAATTGCAAATGTAATAAGAGCTACAAAGGAGATGTAAGGGCTCCTCACACACAGGAGGAGTGTGTGTGAAAGGAGAGAATTTCTTGGAGAAAATGACATATGAGCTGAGTTCTGAAAGAAAGATGAATAGGCACTACCTAGGCTAAATGGAGGTGAAGAGTGATGCATACGAAAGAGCCTTTGGGAGGATTCTGAGGCAGAAAGGATGTAGAACAAGGGGGCCAGTCTGTGGCAGGCTGTAATTGGAGGCTGGTCTCCGTCGTGCCCCTTACAGTCTGATTCCTACACAGCAGCCAATGTGATCTTTTAAAAATATAAATCTGATGTTGTCACTTCCCTGCCCCAAAATGTCCAGTGAATTTCCATTTTGGAGCAAAATTCAGACTCCTCACTGTGGCCACCAAGGCCCTGCAGAAGAACTTGACCCCCAACCTTTTACTCCAAACTCACTGCTTATCACTGTCCCACTCACTCCTTCTGTCCAGCTTCCTTACTCCCCTTTTTTTTTTAAGATTTTTTTGTTTTGATGTGGACCATTTTTAAAGTCTTTACTGGATTTGTTACAATGTTGCTTCCGTTTTATGTTTTGGCTTTTTGGCCTCAAGACATGTGGGAATCTTAGCTCCCGCACCAGGGATTGAACCGGCACCCCCTTCATTGGAAGGCTAAGTCTTTTTTTTTATTTTTAATTTTTTTTTATTTTTGGCTGCGTTGGGTCTTTGTTGCGGTGCGCAGGCTTCTCTTGTTGCGGAGCACAGGCTCTAGGCACGTGGGCTTAGTAGTTGTGGCATGTGGGCTCAGTAGTTGTGGCTTGTGGGCTCTAGAGCACAGGCTCAGTAGCTGTGGTGCATGGACTTAGTTGCTCCACGGCATGTGGGATCTTCCCAGACCACGGCTCAGACCCATGTCCCCTGCATTGGCAGGCGGATTCTTAGCCACTGAGCCACCAGGGAAATCCCTGGAAGGCTAAGTCTTAACCAATGGACCGCCAGGGAAATTCCCCTTCCCCTTTATTTTGTTTCATAGTTCTCACGGCCACCTGAATGTACCTGTTTTTTGTCTTCCACCACCACTAGAACATAAGCTCCATAGGGCCAGGGACTTTATAATCTTATTCATTACTGTATCTCCAGGGTCTAGAACAGTGCCTGGCACATAGTAGATGCCCAATTATGATTTGTCAAATATGTGTCTTGGGGAGCACATAGCAGGGGTGCCCAGCTCATTCAGGGGTGTCAGGAAAATGGTACTGATGGTAGGGACATTAAGGCTGAGAAGTTAATGATGAAAAAGAATAGTTATTCATTTTTTTTCAAGAGAGGAGAAGAAAATAGCATAGAGCAGAGAGGCAAGATGGAATGTGGCCTATTAGACGAAATGTGATTGGAGCATATGGTCCAAGTGGAGAGGTGAGAAATGAGACTGGAACAAAGATGCCAGGTCCCGGTAGCCCTCTTAAAAGGCAGTGTGGAGCTGTTGAAGGATTTTAGGAGGGAGAGTGGTAGCTTCAGAATTTGTATTTTAGTTAGACCATCCAGTTCTTGGTGAATGGATTGGAGGAGAAAAGTAGAGTGTAGGAGGCCAAGCAAGAGATGTTTCAGTAGCTTAGAAGAGAATAGACAGGGAGAAGGGTACAGGGAAAGGACAGAGTCAAGGATGAGCCCCAGGTTCTGTGAGGAAGAGGTTCTATTCATGGGGAAAAAAAACACAGGAGGAAGAGTGGGTTTGGCTGGAGGAGATGATGCTCTCATGATGGTCCTGCTGAAGTGTCTGTGAGACACCCAGAGGAAAGGTCTGGAGGGCAGAGTCACATCACAGAGTCCATCCCAGGAGAAGGATTGGGATTGGAAGTGGAGATTGTGGAACCAGAAAACAACTAGAAGGTTAGTCAAAGCCATGGATTATCTCTGTGGAGAGAGCATGACGTATGAGAAGAGAAGGCCTAGGACAAAACCCTAAGGAACAGACAGAAAGAGGACGCGAAGCCTGCAAAAGAGAAGGAACAGCCAAAGAAGTGGGAGGACATCCAAAGCAGCACAGTGTGGAGTCATGAAAACAAAAGAGAGTGCTTCTAGGAGGTAAAAAGTCCAGTCGAATAAGGGCTGAGCAGGGACTTTCCTGGTGGCGCAGTGGTTAGGAATCCACCTGCCAATGCAGGGGATGCGGGTTTGAGCCCTGGTCCGGGAAGATCACACATGCCACAGAGTGCCACAACTACTGAGCCTGTGCGCCACAACTACTGAGCCTGCGAGCCACAACTACTGAAGCCCCTGTGCC